ATTAAATAAAAATATTTAAATAAAAGAACTTTAAACAGCGAAGAATTTAAAAATTGAATGTTTTACCTGAAATTGGGCTTTCTAGCTCATCAGTCTATTTGAGGGGGGCAATGTGGGAAAAATGGGGGGCATCTGTAATACTCTCAACAATAAAGATAAATAAAAACAAAAAAGAAAAGCATCTGACAAAATTCAATACCTAGTCTTTGTAAGTAGAATTGAATAAAACAGTAATCAATGGCTATTTCCTTACATTATTTACACACACACATACACACACACACACACACATATATATATATATATATATATATATATATATATATATATATATTTTTTTTTTTTTTTTGTATGTATATGTCGAATCCCAAAATCTTGCTCAGAGGTGATACAGGAGGTTTTCACACTTAAAAAAGAAAAAGACAAGAAATCTCACTGTTATCACTACTGTTTATTATGGTACTACAGATATTAGCCATCTTGGACAAGAGAAAGATATTCGAGGAATAATGGTTTGAAACAGAGGTAACTGTCACTATTGGTGCATGATATGAGTACATATATGGAAACCCCAACAGAATCTAATGAAAAACTACTTCAGAAACAGAATTCAATAAGATAGCAGGATACAAAATTAATACAAACAAATCTTTAGCCACAGACAATAGTGCAGTGAGAGTGTAGGCAGGATGGGTTCGGGGTAGACAGGGTCAGTAGGGGACATCTGTAATGCTTTCAACAATAAAGATACATTTAAGAAAAAAATCATTAGCCTTCATGTAAGATAATAGACAGTATAACGAAAGGATGGTGGGGGGGAGAAAAGGAGGGCACATTTACTAATAAACCAAAAAATGAAATAGGAAAAAGTAAGCCCAATATGCCAAAGAAAATGTAAAACAATGCTGAAAGATTAAAAAAAAAAAATTACTTAAATCAAGGCACCATGTTCTCACAATGGCCTGTGTGGCCGAGTTGGTTTGGTCCCATGTACCCAGAGAGGTTGCTAGTTTGAATCCCAGTTGTGCCTGAGTTATGGGCTGGATTCCCATAGTGGGTGTCCAGGAGGCAGCCCTTGGATGTTCCGTGCTTTCACTTTGACATTTCTCTTTCTCCCCTCGCTTCTTCTCTCTCTAAAAATAAATAAAAATAAATATTTTTTAAAAGGCACCCTATTCTTAATAGGAAGATTCAAACACCTTGTTAATTTCCATAAATTAATTTATTAAATTTGAGGCAGATTTAGTAAAATTACTATTTTTTCTCTGAAATTGGCAAAAACTACTACAATATTTATGTAGTAAGAGAGTAACAAGGAGACGAGGGGAAAGCAGTGGGTTGGAGTTATTGAAATCTTACTCATAAAAAGTCTCAATATTTAAAACAATTTTAAATATTGTTTTAAATATTCAAAAACAGTTGACTAACGTGTAAATAAACAAATGGACCTATGGAATAGAAATCCAGAAATAAACAAGTATATACAGGAATGTAAAGCCTAACCTACATTCTAATACCTACAAGGAATATAAACCTAAATAGTAAATTCAGAAATAAACGTAAATACAGAAATTTGGTACATGATAAATGTGATATCTAAAATTAGGTAGCCCTAGCCAGTTTTGCTCAATGGATGGAGCCTTGGTCTGTGTACTGAAAGATCCCAGGTTCAATCCTTGGCTCCAGGCTCCTCCCGGCCCAGGCCCTTGATGAAGCACCTGCAGGAGGCAACCAGTCAATGTGTTTCTCTCGCATCCATGTTTCTCTCTGTCTTTCCCTCTTTCTTCCACTCTCCCTAAAAACAAACAAATTAAAAAAATTAATGGAAAAATATCCTCGGGTGAGGATTAACAGCAAAAAATAAAAAAGTAAAATAAAGTTAGTAGGTAAAAGATGTTTCAATAAATGGTTTTGGAGTGATAAGGAAAAAAAAAACTTTGAACATACATTGTATGCCAGCATATACTCTAAATGAGTCAAAATTTAGCCGAAGCTGGTTTGGCTCAGTGGTAGAGCATCGGTCTGCGGACTGAAAGGTCCCGGGTTCGATTCTGGTTAAGGGCATGTACGTTGGTTGCGGGCACATCCCCAGTAGGGGGTGTGCAAGAGGCAGCTGGTCGATGTTTCTCTCTCATCGACGTTTCTAGCTCTCTATTTCTCTCCCTTCCTCTCTGTAAAAAATCAATAAAATATATTTAAAAAAATAAAATAAAAAATAAATGAGTCAAAATTTAAGTGTAAAGAATAAGCCATAAATGGGTTTGCTAGAAGAAAAATAGGGGTGAGTTTCTTCATAATCTTGACATGAAATGGTCTTTCTAACTAATCAAAATTCAGAAAACATTTTAAAAGTGACAAATTTAACTATACAAAATAATTATGGTACGTCCATACAATGGAATATTTTTTAGTGCTTAAAAGAAATGAGCTGTCAAGTCACAAAAAGACATGGAGGAACCTTAAATGCCTATTGCTAAAATATTTTATGATTGTAACTGGATACATTTCAGAAAAGGCAAAACTATGGAGACAGTAAAAAGATCAGCGTTTTCCAGGAGGGAGGAAAAAGAGGGATGAATGATGGAGCATAGCGAATTTTTAGGGCAGAGAAACTTCTGAATGATACTATAACAGTAGGTATGTGTGATGATACATTAAACCCATGGAATGTATAACACCAAGAGTGAACCCTAATGGTAACTATGGACTTTGGGATATGTGTCTATGTTGAGTCATTGCCTGAAACAAATGTAACACTATAGTGCTGGATTTTGATAATGGAGAGGCTGTTGTTAGAAGAGTGGGGGGAAGAGGTATTTAGGAATTTAATGTACTTTTACTCAAATTTTCTGTGAACCTAAAACTGTTCTAATAAATAAAATCCATTTTTGAAATCTTGTGAAAGGTAAAAATATATACATATAAGCAAAGTCAAAAGATAAAGTCTGACAATCTAATAGAAAAATAGACAAATGATACAAATAGAAAAGGAAATATGGATGACCCATGACCCCAGAGAAAAAGATGTTCAACATTATTTATATTATGACAAATGCACATTGTAACTATACACAGCTAACACATTCCACTGATCAATCCTGTTGGCAAAAATCTAAGGTGTTACCTCCAAACAAGTATAACTCTGGTAAGGCAGTAGGGCAGCAGCTACTCATATATTACTCTTGGGAATGTGAAAAGGTACAGTTGCCATGGAGGGCAACATGATACTATCCATCATAATTTAAATTTCATTTGTTCTTTAATCTGGCAGTTTTACTTCTGGAAAATATAGCTGTCCCTTGCCCATAAATGAAAAAATATGCAGCATTTTTTACAAAAAATGGCAAAAGAATAGAAACAACTTAGGTGTTCATCAGTAGCGGACCAAATAATTAAATTATGGTATATATTTTTATTAGAATAATGTGCCATATAAATGCATTTTTTATAATAACAGATTTTTTTTTTAAAGCTTGGAGTAACCAGTATTTAAAATTTTTCTACTTTATTATTTATTTTGAAATTAAACATCCTTATTTGCAGTTGTCACTGGGGCCGAGTCTTGCTGCTTGCTTATTAGCTGGCCTGTTCTCCCAGCTACATGGATAGGCGTAAGGCCTTGATGACACCTTGCAGGGCTGAGAAGTGCTTGGCTTAGTAGGCCAGGTCAGACTGTGCCTTGTTCATCTCCAGGTTATAGTCTTTTTTTTTTTTTTTTTAATATGAGGAAGGGAGGAGAAATAGAAACATTAATGATGAGAGAGAATCATTGATTGGCTGCCTCCTGTACACCCTCTACTGGGGATCAAGCCCATAACCCAGGCATGTGCCCTTGGTCGGAATCAAACCTGGGACGCTTAAGAACGCAGGCTGACGCTCTATCCACTTAGCCAAGTCAGCTAGGGCTCCAGGTTGTAGTCTTGCTGCTTGGTCATTTCAGAGAGCTTAAGCCAGCCTGGCCTGTGCTGAGTAATCTTCTCTTTTTAATATATTTTCATTGATTTGAGAAAGCAAGAGACAGATAGAAACATCAATGATAAGAGAGATTGGTTGCCTCCTGCACCTCCCTTCCCCCCATTGGGGATCAAATATTGATGAGAGGTAGAAATATCGAAAAGAGAGAAATATTGGTCTCTGCCTCCGGCACACCACCTACTAGGGATTGAGCCTGCAAGCAACCTGGGCATGAATCAAAACCAGTGACCCTCATGGTGCATGGGACTACGCCCAACAATCTGAGCCACACTGGCCAGGGCTCTTGGTGTATTTAAAGAATATCTGTAGGAACTTATGCCTGGTGAGATTATGGCAACCTGTGGCTTGGTTCTGACTAGAAAAAGCTGCTTTATCTTTAAATCTATGGGTTTACTATATTCTTTGTAGTTAGTCTTTTAATTTAAAATTAATTTTAAAAACTGCTCTTATTGAATGATCCTGTTCAGGAAGTTGTACCTTATTTTTTATGTGTCTTTTCTTATCCCTAATACACTGCCACCTAACCTTGTCTGAGCAACCCAGGTGCCCTCACCCATGAATCAAACACAAAACCCTTTGGTGCTCAGGCTGATGCTTTAACCTCTGAGTAACACCAGCCAGGACTTGTCTTAAAATAAGTGTTTCTTCTTTCTAATATTGAACATTCCCAACAAATGAAACCTAATTTTAATTTATTGGCATTAGGGATTTACTAATGATGCAGTGGTTGGTCCAGTGTATTTCTGTGTTCCATGTTCCATGTTCAATATATATCTATGTAAAATCTCCTTTTTCCCTAGCTGGTTTGGCTCAGTAGATAGAGCATTGACCTGCTGGACTGAAGGATCCCTAGGTTCTAGTCTGGTCAAGAGCACATGCCCAGGTTGTGGGCATGATCCCCAGTAGGGGGTGTGCAGGAGACAGTCGATCAGTGATTCTCTCTCACACTGATGTTTCTATCTCTCCCTCTCCCTTCCTCTCTGAAATCAATAAACATGTATTTTTAAAAAATTCTCTTTAGCAGGATGAAGTTAAAGGAAGTAGATCGTACTGCCATGCAGGCATGGAGCCCTGCCCAGAATCATCCCATTTACCTAGCTACAGGTGAGTTCAATAGAAACAAGATAGTACAAGTCACCTAATTTCTTCTCTTCCACATCTGATTTATTCATATCTGTTCTTTAAGATTCAGATCAAGCTTCATCCCTAGAAAGCCTCTTCTTCCTGGCAAGATACCTCCCTCCTTCCTGTCAGCTGAGTTCTATGACTTTCCTCCGTGTTCCCATGGCACCTGTACATCATAGCATTAATCATTATATATTTATAGTGTCATCCCCATTTTATAAAAATTATGTTTTATCTTTATTCCTCCAGTACTAAACACAATAGATACGTTTTTTAAAAATCTGTTAAATATCAATTTAAATGAATAATTTTGATGCTAGCTTTTTTATATAAAAAGAGTTGGAATTATATCATTTGTGACTATAAACAGATATAGTGAATCATGGTGGTGTTTTTACAGAGAGCTTTTAAAATTATCTGCACTACTCACTCTTACAAATGTCATCTCCAAGCCCTGTGTTAGCATCTCATTGCTGTAGTAATTTAAACATCTGCTCAATGGCATATGAGCTGATTTCAGTTACTATTATAGTATTCATGACTGAGATAATTGAAAAACATGCCTTTAATTTCTATTTTGTATGATTTGCTGAGACTCTTATTTTTGCATGCATAGTTACCATAAATGTATTTTCTATAGGAACATCTGCTCAGCAATTGGATGCAACATTTAGTACCAATGCTTCCCTTGAGATATTTGAATTCGATCTTTCTGATCCATCCTTGGATATGAAATCTTGTGCCACCTTTTCTTCTTCTCACAGGTATGAGACTCAATCTTAAATTCATGATTATATTTAATTTTATTTTGTGAGTAATGTCTAGTTTGTCTATAAATGTATCATTATTAGAAATTGCAATGAATACCAATAATGACATGAGTTACTTGGTGAAAAAAATACATAGTGAGTTTCTGTGGAATCAGAGTTAATATCTATTAACTTTTTTTTTAATGTATTTTTATTGATTTCAGAAAGCAAGGGAAAGGAAGAGAAAGAAAAACATCAATGGTGATAGAAAATCAAAGCTGCCTCCTATACACCCCCTACTGGGGATCAAACCCGCAACCTGTGCATGTAGCCTGACTGGGAATTGAACCGGTGACCTCTTGGTTCCTGGGTTGATGCTTCACCACTGAGCCACATGTCTATTGACTTTTTATTGCGGACTGTTATGTGTAGGATAGGAAGGAAATGATATAGTTTGTAATTTTTTTCCTCATAATATAGTAGAGTTACTTTCTTTTATTTCCTTTTTCTTACCTGTTTACAAAAAAAGGAAGGTATGATTAGAAAATAAATTAGTTGGATGAAAATTAAGATGTAAATAGTAATTATCTCTGATTAGTAGGTTATTTTAATTTTTTTCTTGTATTTACCTATATTTAAAAATATATTTCACAGAGAATTTTATTAATGTGATTTCTGATACAGTAGGTATTTGGATCACCTTTCCAAATATTTATGACCTTTTAAGTAGCAAAATTGCTTTATTGCCTCATTAGCTTTTGACAGATTTTGATGAAGAGACTGGACCTTAGCTAACAGAATACAGATCATGGGAATCCTCAATCTTCAGAGCCTTTACACTCTAATGGGAACTCCAGATACTTTTTGTCTTGCCGGCTTTATACTCTTTTCTACTTAAAAAATAAAAAATTTATATATATATTATTGATTTCAGAGAGGGAGAGAGAGACAGAAACATCAGTGCTGAAAGAGAATCATTGGTTGGCTGTCTCCCGCACACCCGACACTGGGGATCGAGCCCACAACCTGGGCATGCACCCTTGACTAGAATCAAACCCTAGACCCTTCAGTTCGCAGATTGACCTCTATCCACTTGACCCAAACTGGTTAGGGCTACATTCCACTGTCTTATTATGTCTCATCGTACATCTTCATGACACCTTTATATTTCATCTTCATGCCACACCATAATATTTTATTCTCCACAACTAGAAGTACTTGTCATAACAGACATAATTTTAATGTCACTTTTTTACTGTCAGAAAACAACACCTTTACTATTTAACAGACCATTTGTTGGTGAGTACTTCTATAGTCAAACAGAATTAAGGGAAGTGGTAGCTCTGTTTTTCAGATGAACCAAAAGCAGTTTAGGATGGTCAAGTAACTTGCCTAGGCCTCAAAGTTTCTAAATGTAAAACTATTTGTAAGCCCATATCTTTAGCACACAAATCAAGTATACTTTGTCACACTATAATATTACCTCTAAAAAAGAATATTTTTACTCTTTTAAATTACAAAATCAAATATGTACATGAGTATAAATAACTAAAATTCTATTTCACCAAGTCATTTATGGTTATCAGGAATAGAGAAGAAACAGTATTTTTGAGTATTTATGATGATAAGGAATTAAATGTATACTTTCAAATTATTTTCTACATTTATTTGACTTCAAAAATTAGTTGTTGCTTTTTTAAATTGAATTAATTGGGGTGATGTTGGTTAATAAAATTATACAGGTTTCAGGTATACAATTCTACGTAGTACATCATCTAAGTTGTTTTTATTCGTTTTCTCTTAAAGATACCACAAGTTGATTTGGGGGCCTCATAAGATGGATTCCAAAGGAAATGTCTCTGGAGTTCTGATTGCAGGTGGTGAAAATGGAAATATTTTTCTTTATGATCCTTCTAAAATTATAGCTGGAGACAAGGAAGTTGTGATTGCCCAAAATGATAAGCATACTGGCCCAGTGAGAGCCTTGGATGTGAACATTTTCCAGGTTAGACTTTTGACATTTGTTCATGATTCTTGAGATATGTGCTGCTTATTTGAGACAAGAATATGAATCTACTATGCTTGGAATCAAAAGCTAAAAATGTGTGCATGAGGAGTGAGTATATTTGTTTGAAGAATAAAGAGTTCAGAATATGTAATACTAACTCCTTGGAGGGGATCTGGCTGATGGGTTTAATTCAGAGAAGTCTGGAGATATCATAACATCTGATTGAACATTTTTTAGAAACCTTGCCTTTTAAACAATGCTTTTCCAACATTGGGTTGGTTTGTAGTGTCTGGGTTAGTCCACAGTTTTTTTAATTGAGAAATTTTGTCTTTATGATAGATTAGTATTCTATCAGATAATTAGAAATATACACAAGTATAGTACAAATTTAATTAATAGACAAGAGTCAAATGTTACCATTTTAAACTTTACTAAATGTTAATTATATAAATGTGTAGGTTAATAAAGACTTTTTTTTTAAGGTTATTTATTGATTTTAGAGGGAGAGAAAGAGAAATATAGATTTGTTGTTCCACTATTTATGCATTCATTGGTTGCTGCTTGTATATGCCCTGACTGGAAATCAAACCTGCAACCTTGGTATTTTGGGACTACACTCTAACCAGCTGAGCTACCTGGCCAGGGCCAAAGATCTTTAAAAAAATAAAATAAAATAAGTCATATATATATATATATTTTTTTTCTTTTTAATTGATTTCAGAGAGGAAGGGAGAGAGGGAGAGGGAGAAGGAGAGGGAGGAAGGGAGGGAGGGAGGGAGACAGACAGACACATAGACAGACACATCAGAGGGAGAGAGAATCATTGATTTGCCGCCTCCTGCACACCCCACATACTGGGGATCAAACCCAAAACCCACGCATGTGCCCGACTGGGAATCAAACTGTGACCTCCTGGTTCATAGGTCCATACTCAACCACTGAGCCATGTCAGGTGGGCAGTTAATAAAGATCTTGAGTTAATAGAATACTAGAGTACAACAACCAAAAAATGCATATTATCTTAAAGTTTAAAGTAGTTATTTTTCTTATATTATAAATAGACTAGAGACCCAGTGCGTGATGGAAATCATGGGACCCCACCTCCTGCCACGTGAGGCGGCACCCCGCTGGGGCCAGGACTCGGGTCTGACCCGTGCAGCGCCAGCTGCCGTGTTGTGTCCACTAGGGTGGAGGCAGGTGCTCTTGTGTATTGTGTCTCCTCTCTGGCCCTCCCCCTGCCCCAGCCTCTCCCTGTGTTGTGTCTCCACTTTGGCCCCCTGCCCCCAACCCCAGCCTCCCCATGGCACTGGGGCTGGGGGCGGCACACAGTCCCCTCCTGCTCATCTGCACATGCAGCTCCTCCTGAGTTGTTGTGATGCAGCCTCCTCCTGAGCAGTCTTGAAGCCCGGCTAATTAGCATATTCCCTGTTTATAGATAGATAGATAGATAGATAGATAGATAGATAGATAGATAGATAGATAGATATAGATATAGATAGATATTTAAGATATAGAACTATCAAACCCGAACTACTTAATTTCTACCATTAATGGGGTTTATTCTTTAAATTAGAAAGCTAGTTCCTTTGTTGTTGTTGTTTTTTTTTAATATATTTTATTGATTTTATACAGAGAGGAAGGGAGAGAGATACAGAGTTAGAAACATCGATGAGAGAGAGGCATCGATCAGCTGCCTCTTGCACATCCCCTACTGGGGATAGGCCCGCAACCAAGGTACATGCCCTTGATCGGAATCGAACCTAGGACCCTTCAGTCCCCAAGCCAATGCTCTATCCATTGAGCCAAATCGGTCCCGGCTCCTTTGTTAATTGGATTAAACAGTTGCTGAGTTTTGGTTACTTTGTATTATAGGTAGCTATTACCATAAAATTCCTCTGTTTTTAGTTATATTTCTGTTGATTAGAGAAGAATTTTTGCAAGTGAATAATAAAGGATGAAGGTTAATACATGAAATTCATTATCTTGCTATATTTCATATTACAGTTCTAGGAGCTTTTGACTGTAAAGGTATGCAATATAAATAATCTAGAAATATTGCTACTCAGAATAAGATTGAATATAAATGAAGTAGAATTACGTGAGGGATTTAAGACAAGAATTTAACTAGCCCTATCTTGGTTTGACTCAGAAGCTGGCTTTGAGGTATACTGAGATAGATGCCATTATTTTAGAATTCAGTTATTTTCCTGAAAGCAGTAATTGGTGACCTGTTTTTATTACCCATTGTTGGATTCCCTTCCAAAGACATAAGTCCACAAATTATAATCCCCATGTAGTTTCATGATTTTTAAAAAATATATATTTTTATTGATTTCAGAGAGGGAGGGAGAGAAAAACATCATCTATGAGAATCATGGATCAGCTGTCTCCTGCACGCCCCTTAGTGGGGATCGAGCCCATAACCCAGGCATGTGTCCTTGACCAGAATCGAACTCAGGAACCTTTTTTCCGCAGGCTGAAGCTCTATCCACTGAGCAAAACCGGCCAGGGCAGTTACATGATTGTTTAAGAATTTACCTATGTAATTATTTTTTATACATATATTTATTAATTTCAGAGAGGAAGGGAGAGGGAGAAAGATAGACACATCAACAAAGAAAGAGAATCATTGATCACCTGTCTCTTGCACACCCACTACTGGGGATCGAGCTTGCAACCTGGGCATATGCCCTTGTCCAGAATTGAACCAGGGACTTCAGTCCATAAGCTAATGCTCTATCCACTGAGCCAAATCAGCTAGGGCTCCATGTAATTATTTTTAATGTCTTGTATTAAAATGTCAATACACATATTATCATTTTAAGTTAAATAGAATTTTATATATTTATCTAAAAACTAATTTTAGATTGTTATTCATGGTATTTAGGAATTCATAAGTTTTGCTTCTTTAATTCAGTAGAAAAATTGTATAACCTAAAATGAAGATCTTTCTACCTATGAACTGAGTTAATCTGCGTTCTCTTAATATGTAAAGTGCTATTTAGTTATTAATTGTTTCTTATTGCAGACTAACTTGGTAGCTTCTGGTGCTAATGAATCTGAAATTTACATTTGGGATCTAAATAATTTTGCAACTCCAATGACACCAGGAGCCAAAACACAGGTAATACATTGATTTTGATATATAATCAACCAAAATCAGTTCTTCTATATTTAATTTATTTGTATGTTTTCCACAGAAACTGTATTTGTTTAAAAATTAATGTTTAGATATCATTGATTTTTCTTTAGAGTAGTGAAGTAAAGTATTTTTTTAAAAATATATATTTTATTGATTTTTTACAGAGGGGAAGGGAGAGAGATACAGAGTAAGAAACATCGATGAGAGAGAATCATCAATCAGCTGCCTCTTGCACACCCCCTACTGGGGATATGCCCACAACCAAGGTACATGCCCTTGACGGGAATCGAACCAGGGACCCTTCAGTCCCCAAGCCGACGCTCTATCCATTGAGCCAAACCGGTCCCGGCGAAGTAAAGTATTAATGAATGTTTTTTCATTCAAGGTATCAGTGAGTCTCTACAGCAAATATTTACTCAGTGCTTGCCATCTGCCAGCAACTGTTTGATTTTAAAAATTGACAAGTCCATAATAATATTTTTAGATACTGTATTTTATAGGGTGTAGTATTTTATGTCATATAGTGTTTTAACATTGTCTAACCTTAGAATAAAAATCATAGATTTGAAAGCAGACTTTTTTTTAAAAGAAACACTTAACCCCTTTCCTATTTCTTTTTCTTTCTTTTTTTTTCTTTCTTTCTTTTTTTTTTTTTAACAGTGCAAGTGTTAGTGATTCAATGACCAGAGAATGGAGAAGCGGAGCGTAGCTCACAGATTAGCTTCTCATCCACTTGGGGTTGAGAAGTTGTAGATAGATATAGGAGGGTAGAAAAGAAGGGACGATCTAGGCAGATAAGGGAGAGCTTTATGCAAATGGTGAGTGGAATAGACATGGTTTTCTGGGAAAGGGGGGCAGGGAAATTTTTGGAATTTAGGTTCTACCTTTTTGTCCTTTTATGATTCCTTTTGATCATTGCCAAGGTGATTGTCAACTGTGATGGCCTTGGTGGGTGTATCATTTAGTATGGAGATTAGATTATAATGAGGTTTGAGGTATTCTGGAGGTTACTTAGGAGGTTATCTTAGTCTTAGCTGATATTTTCTTGAGAAAGGAACTATTAACTGCATCCCTTCTGTTCTCAAAGATAAATAGAGTCGTGTAGGGGTTTACCAGGTCACATAGGCCTACTGTGGTGTAACAAATTCCCCCTTTCTTATTTTCACTCATTCTTGAGGGATGCTGAGGACAAAGGTCCACCATCTGTAACTGCTTTGAGGGTTTTATAATGGGGCCCATTAAAGGAGTGAAACCCTTCCTTGGCTAATCTTAAGTAAGTCTGATTGTCTCCGGGCTGTAGTTCTAACCATTCATACTCTTGGGTAATTATTATTTGAAGTTTAATTGATTCAGGTCTTCTGAAAACAAAAGAAACTAGACATGAAGGTATTAGTTATCTTGTTGGCATTCCTGCTGAGTAGTAGCTTGAAGTCTAATAAAGGCTCATAGAAGTGTTGAATTCTAGAGAGAACCTCAGATTCTAAGCCAGTAATCTGTTTTATGTTGATGTGATGAATCCAAGGCATTATTCCCTGTACTATGTATTTTTAGTAAGTTAAGAAAATAGCCTCCTGCTATCTGAGTTTCTTTCTTTAAGTTTCTTTTTAAAATAATTGATTTGAGAGAGGAAGGAGAGACACACAGACAGAACAAGAAAGGTGAGAGAGAAATATCCATTGGTTGTCTCCTATACTCACCCTGACGGGAAATCAAACCTGCACTGAGGTTTGTGCCCTGACTGGAAGCGAACCTGCCACCCTTTGGCACATGGGATGATGTTCTAACCAGCTGAACCACCTGGCCAGGGCACCTCTTTGAGGTTTTTATAATGTATAGACTTCTCAATTTGAGTAGCCTTATAATGGGACCTAATATTTTGGCAATCAGAGAAGGTAGCATAAGGATAGCCTATGGTCTACCATTTATAAAGATATTTTTCTCATCATCTAGGCTGTAACTTTTTTTCTGCCTAGTTGTTATATTGACCTACGTCTGCTTTGTGGTCCATCGTCTAACTCATGGCACTTGCAAAATAACAAAACAGTGCTTGATTTATAGCAGGAGCTTAGTAAATGCCTGGTGGATGAGACAATATTAAACTATATTGTATATATTGAGAACTTAGGAATGTAAAGCAAATTTGTGGAATGAAAAGTTCAGATTTTTAAGTTATCTGTTTTTTAAAAAGAAGGATCAGAATTTGGAATTAAATTTTATTATAGTTGAGAACTGATTTTTAATAATTTATTCCTTTTAGCCCCTAGAAGATATCAGCTGCATTGCATGGAATAGACAAGTCCAACATATTTTAGCATCAGCCAGTCCCAGTGGTCGGGCCACTGTCTGGGATCTTAGAAAAAATGAACCTATCATCAAAGTCAGTGATCATAACAACAGGGTAAGAATATGATTGATTTGTAATGAATATGTTGTATTTCTTCTATAGGTATTCCTATATCATTTGTCAGATTTGGCAGTAAATCACAAAAGTCAAATCCTGTATTTTCATGGGCCAGTCATGTGGGAAGGAGAGGATTTTTTCTTAGGGAAAATAAAGTTCTCGGTAAACCATGTTGGATATTAATAATGATAAAGAAAGAGATTGGGGCTTGTTCTATGATGTTCTTTGTGTTTTGCTTTGCTAGCTGTTTCAAAGCAATACAGCAACTTTTTAATTCATTTTTACCTTTCTCTAAAGTGTGAAGATTTTCCCTACAATTAATTTTATGACTGTGAACTTGTAGTTTCCAAACTCCTGGCTTCATCTCTTCTATTAGGTACTGCTAAAATGAGCTAATATTCTTCCACTTGCCCATTAAATGCTGCTATATAACACATTAAATTTTTGACCTTACAAATTTCTTAATATGTTATCATGTGCTGTAAGATAATTTAGATACCATTAGGGTCTTATTTTGTTAGTTATTAATCACATTATATGTTTAACATTTTCCAAAACAACTTTGCGTAAATCAGAGAATACATATAAAATTTTTTAACAACAAAAAACTATTTAGAAGAGGGGTTTGTTTTTTCTTCAGGGGTTTGTTTTTTCCCCAACGAATCAGGAGTTTTAAAACAAGTTTAATTGAAATAAAGCATACAGTAAACATTTCAGTCATCTTCTGAAATACTTAATAGGATCCCCAAACTTTCAAGTAATTCTCAATAATACTGTTAATTTATCCCCATATGAAAATTTGGTAGTTGTTGCTTATTCTGTCTTGATTTTTCTGATAAAATAGAAGGTGTGGATTTTTGTTATTAAAATACTAGAGGCCCAGTGCATGAAATTCATGCACAGGTAGAGTCCCTAGGCCTGGCCAGTGATCAGGGCTGGCCAGCACCTTCCTAAGTTCTATGCTGCCTCATGGTGGTCAGAGCAGATCATAGCAAGCTGGTCTCCCGATCGAACTCCGGAACAGACACTTTGCATATTAGCCTTTCATATATATGTAGATTTTTCCCCTCTTTTTATTTTTCTGAAAGCGTTAAAATGTAAATCTGTATAAAATTCCCTCTGGCCTGGCCAGCATGGCTCAGTGATTGAGCATCAACCTAAGAACCAGGAGGTCAAGGTCCGATTTCTGGTCAGGACACATACCTAGGTTTCAGGACTTGATCCCCAGTGTGGGGGGTGCAGGATGCAGCAAATTAATGATTCTCTCTCATCATTGATATTTCTTTCTCTGAAATCAATAAAAACATATTTAAAAAACCAACAAAACAAAATAAACTTCCTCCTAGTTACATTTTTGGCAGCAAAGCAGGTTCTGGCCCAGAGTGGCTTTATGTATCAAATAGCTGGATGAACTGAAAACATTTAAACTTTTTACTTTTAAGAATACTGTTCAAGATTGTTTAATAAAATTTAATACTTTTTAGATCTTGGGAGGTCTGTTTACCTTGTTATTGAATTTATTAGGGTGACATTAGTTAATAAAATTATATAGGTTTCAAGTGTACAGTTGTATAATACATCATCTGTATGTTGTATTGTGTGTTCACCACCCCATAGCAAGTCTTTTTTCCATCCCCATTTATCCCTCATATATCCTCTTCTTCCTCCCCCCAGATATTTTGTGTATTTTTTTTAAATAGACGAAGCCTGAGCTGATATTTTCTACTGTTTGTTTCAACAAAGGTATATTCCTTAAGTTCATTTTCGTTTTTCATAAAATAATATGATTGATAAAAATGTTAGCCTTAACTATCTGCAGATGCATTGCTCTGGGTTGGCGTGGCATCCTGAAGTTGCTACTCAAATGGTCCTTGCATCTGAAGATGATAGGTTACCAGTGGTCCAGGTGTGGGATCTTCGCTTTGCCTCCACTCCACTCCGCGTCCTGGAAAACCATGCCAGGTATCATGCTGCTCTTTAAACGAACATAATTGTTTATTTTTTAAGAACATGTTTACTTACTACTTTGATTTATCAGATAATTTTTATTAGACTAGAGAATCTACTTTGTCTCTATTTTTGTAAAAGTTAGTGTAAATAACTGGTTTGTTTTTATTTTAAGCAGTAGTTATCTAATTTTCTGTACCCCAGAGTGGTAGCCAAATCATATAATAAGAACACAAAAATGTGTAGAGGATTTTTTCACTACTTATTTCAAGTAATAATTAATAGATCAAGATTCCAGTAGGTCACAACACTTTGGGACAGCTCTTGACTTTATACAATTTGCTCTTCCTTAAGGCCATCATACTTATGAAGAGTCTTGCATAACATTCAATGCCAAGTAAAATTGAAAAGTTTATCTCTTTTTATTTTAATTTAAAAGGAAACACTTTTGAGAAAGTATGTGGTTCATTTTACTTTCAGGTTTTTTTGTTTTTTATTAATCCTCACCCAAAGATATTTTTCCATTGATTTTTAGGGAGAATGGAAGAGTGAGGGAAACACATTGATTGGTTGCCCCCTACATGCGCCCCGACCAGGGCTTGGGCCGGGGAGGAGCCTGCAACCAAGGTACATGCCCTTGTCCAGGATTGAACCTGGGACCCTTTGGTCCACAGGCCGATGCTCTATCCATTGAGTCAAACCAGCTATTTCTTGTTTTCAGCTTTAATAAATGTGTGGATGTGCTAAAAAGATTGAGAATTTTCTCATGTTAGTTTATTTTTTTAATACATTTTTATTTATTTTAATTAATTTATTTAATTTATATATTTTTAATATATTTTATTGACTTTTTACAGAGAGGAAGGGTGAGGGATAGAGTTAGAAACATCAATGAGAGAGAAACATTGATCAGCTGCCTCTTGCTCACCCCCTACTGGGGATGTTCCCACAACCAAGTTACATGTTCTTGACTGGAATCGAACTTCGGACCTTTCAGTCACTGAGCCAAACTGGTTTCGGCCATTTTTATTGATTTTAGAGAGAAGATGGGAGAAGGAGAGAGATAGGAACATCAGTAAAAGAGAAATATCAGTCGGCTGCCTCCTACACACCCCCGCTGGGATTTAGACCCTGGCATATGCCCTGACCGGGAATCAAACTGTGACCTCCTGGTTCATAGGTTGATGCTCAACCACTGAGCAACAACAGCTGGTCTCTCATGTTAGTTTTAGTAACATTAAATTTAATTAGTAATTTGGAAATTTCCGATCATTGATATTTAGGCAGCCAGGGAGTTTATGTGTATTTGTTCAGTGCAATCTCGGGCTCCCTTTCCCCTCCCACCAGCCAGGCACTCTGCCGCTCTTCCTCTCTGCATGCGCATCTTTGTGGCTCCGCTGATCCGTGAGCCTCTTTCCTTCTTTCTAGTTTTAGATTTCCCACTCAGCCAGCTTTCCTGTGGTTTTGGTTGATGTTCATTCTGTCTTTTAGTTGTTGTTTTGAAATTGTTGTGCGAGGTGGTAGTTTAGGTGCTTACCTAGGCTGCCATCTTGGTTTCTCTAATTTGTTCAATGTTTTCAAACAGAAACAAATCCCTTTTAATGTTACATAATTTTCTAAGTACTTTTGGGTGTTTTTTCTTCTTTCCTATTTAGGGATATATAAACTAAAACTTTAAATCCCTTTTCCCTCTATGTCGTTAATTTGCATACTAAGAAGTCTTAAAGTTTTTGCCTTCTTTTTGAGCTCCTTCCAAAGGAGAAAAGAACCCCATCAAAATGTAATCCTATTCAAATGTTATAATTCAGTTGGCTTTTTATTAAAACACTAAAAGCCCAGTGCACGAATTCGTGCACAGGTGGGGTCTCTCAGCTTGGCTGGCAATCAGGCCGATTGGGGGGCCAGCTGGCTGGAGGAGGGACCACAGGAGATTGACCAGCCAGCTACTCCCCGATCAGGGCCGATCGGGGGCTGGCCGGCCATGGGAGGTTGGCCGGCTGTGGGAGTGCACTCATCACCAGCGGCAGCTCCTGCGTTGAGCATCTGCCTCCTGGTGGTCAGTGTGCGTCATAGCAGTCGTTTGGTCACTTAGGCTTTTATACACACACACACACACACACACACACACACACACACACACACTAGAGGCCTGGTGTATGAAATTTATGTACGGGGGCAGGGGGATGTCCCTCGGCCTGGCCTGCACCCTCTCCAATCTGGGACCCCTCAGGGATGTCCAATTGCTGGTTTGGATATGTCCTGTGGGATTGGGACTAAACCACAGTCAGACATCCCTCTTGCGATCCAGAACCTCTGGCTTCTAACAGCTCGCCTACCTGCCTGCCTGATTGCCCCTACCTTGCCCCCCCGCTGGCCTGATTACCCCTCACTTGCTCCCCTGCTGGCTTGATTGATCCTCACTTGCTCCCCTGCTGGCCTGACCACCCCTAACTTGCTCCACAACCTGATAGCCCCCGGCCTAAGCCACAGTCTGGCCTCCCTCTGCGGAGGGGCCACCTGGCGAATCGAGAAGGCACCACCCCCATTATCCAGCTGTTGCTGCCACTGCCAGCCTGAGTCTGGGCCCTTCGCAGCTACTCCTTGGCCCTTTGCAGCTGCCCACGGCTGCCTTATCCTCGGTCCTCGCAGCCTTTGCATCTTCCTCTAGAAGGACATCCGGAAGATCGTCCAGAAGGCATCTGCCCTAATTAGCATATTACACTTTTATTTATAGATGAATGGTTTTGAAAAGTTTTAATATTTTTCTCATGTAGATGTTTTTAAAAAATTCATGTAACACATACTTACTGAACACATACTCGATCAACTATTGTGCTAGGATTTGGTAATATAATAGACAAAAATACACCCTCAGGGAGCTTACATTGTAGTGGGAAGACAACTAACACTTATATGATATGTAAAGTAGGCAAGCACTTTAAATATTAGCTTGATTAAACCTCATAACAAATCTATGGTGTAATTGCTATTAGCCCCTTTTACAGATTGGAAAATGAAGCTCAGCAGATTTAAATTTGACCTGAATCACATAACTCAAATACTGACTTCGAGTCCAAACATTCTGATCTCACAGAACATGCTCTTTTTAAAAAATATTATTTTATCAATTTTTAGAGAGAGGGAGAGAGAGAAACATCAATATGACATACATCAAATGGTTGCCTCCTGTATGCACCCTGAGCAAGAATCGAATCCACAACATAGTTATGTGTCCTGACCTGGAATTGAACTGGTGACCTTTTGGTGCACGGGATGATGCCCAACCAACTGAGCCACACCAGCCAGGGCACCAGAGTTCATACTCTTAACACTACATTATACTGACTTAGGAATGGTCAGAATTTAGCAAAGCATAAATCCGTACCAGGTGCCAGGAGAAAATTAATCTAATTCTCATTTTTTTCTCTAATAAATGCAACAGTTTGGTTAGATGATTTTTGGGGTTATATTCAATCTACCATTCTGTGATTTAAAAAAAAAATTTTTTTTAACCTAAATGTTCTTTAAAATGTGATATTAAATACATGGATTTTTAAAAAAAGGCATTCTTGACATGCCTTGAAATTCTTAACATGTCTGATTGAATTATAAAGGGGGAAGACAGTTATAAAATACATTATTGAGGAAATTTGAATATGAACTATATTATTTTAAAGTATTACATATAAATAAGTATTTTCAGTATGTATTTATATTGTAGTCTTATAGGAGAATGTTCTTATCCCAGGAGATAAGTGTAAGGATAAGATGTCATGATATTGGCAATTAACCTCAAATAATCAGAGAGAGAAAGACTTTAAGTAAATGTGACCACATCGGTGAATCTAGGTGTGAAGTATTAAGGTGTACATCACACTGTCCTTATAATTTTTATAAAGATTTTAACTTAAAAAAAATAAACTATTGAAAACAAAAGTCATAAACAATTTGGATCCTTTTTCTGAACCATACTTCCCTGATTCTGAGATGACTTAAATTGTAAGAAATATAAAATTAAAAACATCTTTTTTGGGAAAGAAATCACCTCATTGGCTTAGCTACTGAGATGTTTTCAGGAGAATTGAGGGATATTAATTTGTATGGTTTTTGTTTTGAGAAATATGCAAATATACTTCTAGTTTTTAGTATTTTTCTAGTATCTAATATTTTTTAGTATCTAGTATTTAAATTTTAGTTTCTAGTATTTTCTTCATGGTATGATAATGTTTACTTTCCTTCCATCTCTAAACAAAAAAGGCATGAGTATAGAAAAGACACACTTTTAATAGTTTTACTTTTGTTATACTTAGGATAAAAATAAAAAGTTATAACAAAAAAATGTAGAATTAGATGTTTGGCATTTGGATCTATAATACTTTTATCAGACAAATTTTTAAATCTTTTAGTAAGAAATATTTCCTATGCTAGAACTTAGGGGGAAAAAAAGCTAGAAAATGATAACAAAAGCTAGAAAAAAGAGACAAAAAGCTAAAAACAAAAGCTAGAAAATGTAGACAAAAAGAAAAAAATGTGAAATAGTCATATTTCCTACCTACTTGTAAGTAAAACATTTTATTGTGCATATCTGTATTTATTTACATATACATAACTTCAATGTGTAAATATTTAATGTGATTACATGTTATATGAATTTATGTGCATAGTTAACCTTTTTTCATTAATTATGAACATCATTTAATAGTAATAAATAGATTTCTATAACAGAATTTTTAACTACACATTTTCTCATCTAAAGATGATCTGTAATTTATTATTACACAGTTCATGTTGAGCATTTGTTTTTATTTTTTGCTATTATACTCTGTACATTGTATTACTAGTATATATCTTTGTGATAACCAAAGAGCATAGGCATCACTAAATTGCTTTCCAGATAGATTATATGAAATTATATTTTTGTTAGCGGTGTATATCTTTAAAGCTTACACAGAAATAATTTGGAGATTTGGTTTTTTCAAAATTAAAAATTTTTTCATTTCTTTGTGTTTTTTATAAGGGGAATTTTGGCAATTGCTTGGAGCATGGCAGATCCTGAATTGTTACTGAGCTGTGGAAAAGATGCTAAGATTCTCTGCTCCAACCCAAACACAGGAGAGGTATGGAGAGGAAACATTTCATAGAATTATAGCTATCATAATATTTTATCTTAACCTGAATAAAAAGTTTTTTATATGGCTTCTTTTAATGTGTTATTACGATTAAGGACATGTGAAAGTATTATAGATGGAGGTATGTGTGAAATGTTAATCTATTGGAAATTTTTATCAGGAACATTAAGTTCACTTATGTCATCTGGGAAAATTAGTCATTGAAATAGTATATTTAAAACTATTGAGGGGAGCTCTGGGGGCAAAAAGAGGGACCTCTATAATAATCTCAACAATAAAGATTAATCAAAAAAAAAAAAAAAAGAAACTAGTAATCATATCCTATCCCCTATTTACAATAATAGGTGTAAATAGACTCAGAAATACTTGGACTGATTTACTTAACATGTGGTTTCTGTAAATCAGTGCCTTCAAAGTAGGAGTGTTCAAGGATTGGGTCTTTTTCCTGTTCTACCATTCCTGAAGATTCTCTTTGACTTCTGGAAATCAGTAGAAATGGATTTTGATTCTCTTTTGTGAATTATACAGCAAGAATATAATACTTTGTAATATAAATTTATCGTATATTTTACCTATAGAAATTTAGATGTAGGACATATTATCTTATTAAATGTAAATACTGTATAAATATAATTTTATTTGCTTTATATATTAAAATTTTCTTTTTAACTATTATTTTTATTATTTCTAATTGAATTTCAATGTTGGACAAGGGACTGAAAACTTTAATTATAGCTTTTATAAACTTTTACTTTTTAAAAATTAAGATAGATTATTGCAAGTTCTTTGCTAGTTACCCAGATGAAATACAAATAAAAATAAAAAGTATCTTCAATAGTTTTTAATCTATTATCAAGTACTTCTGTTGCTTGATTTGTGATTAGTTTTCAGATGGAGTGATGTCTGTAATAATGTAGAAACATTAAAATTAAGAGAGACAAGAGAAAAATTAAAATAGTAAGTTTCACCTTATCCTGTATAATAAAAGTGAAACATATAAATTGACCATACCTCCTCTATGCTCACCAGCCAATCAGGAGTGGGATGCAAATTAACCTGACAAAGATGGCTGGTTAATTTGCATACACAGATGCTGGGCAGAGAGCAGAGGGGGAGAGCCAGCAGAGAGTGGAGCAGCTCAGGGAACTTGGCTCCCCAAGCTGCCAGACCAATAGCAGAGAGGGAGACCTGGCCGTTTGGAGGACTTGGCAGAGTGGGAGGTGTGGGACGGAGACAGAGCAGGAAGGGAAAACCCAGAGTGTGGGGAGCACCAGGAATTCTGGGAGTACCGTGTTTCCCCAAATATAAGACATCCTCTGAAAATAAGACACAGTGCATGGAAAAATAAGACATCCCCTGAAAATAAGATCAAACGCATCTTTGGGAGCAAAAATTAATATAAGACACTGTCTTATTTTGGGGGAAACAGGGTAGTAGTTCGTTGTTCTGGTGGCAGCCCCAGGACTGGAAGGCCCAGATCATGGGGAGCACCAGGAATGTCGGAAATTGTAGTTCTGGTGGCAGATGGATTGCCTTGACACTAGAGCAAAGTGAGCCTGGAGCAAGTTACTGTTATGGTGGGGGATAGAGGGAAAGCAGAGATAAGATGCATAAGTAAAATCAGAGTATCTAGGAAAAATTAAAGGGAAGATATCCTAAAAATGTCTCTATTATTCTATGAGCAACAAACCAAACTAGGTTGAGATCTCAGACAATTCGCTTATATGATTGCAAAGACAAACAGAAATGCCCAGATTGCTGAGGGAATCCCCACCCTGTGCACTAATCTTCGTGCACCAGGCCCCTAGTATTATATAATCTGTACACCAAATAATAAAAATCTTGCTTTTTACACTGTGCCTTCCTAGGTGAGTTCAAAATTCATAGAAATTATTTTTCTAATTTTTTCAATTATGTAAATTGATAAAATGAAATTTTTGCATATGATTAGTTTGTATGCTTATCAGACTTTGAAGTGATAAACTTTTCATGCATTCTGAAACTAAAACAGTGTAGTAATTTTTTTTTTATTTAAAGGCAAATTAAAAATACACAGGTCATTGAAATATAAAACTGAATCTTATCAATCAATTTAAGCATGAAAGACAAGCGGGCTAAAATACCTTTTTACTTAATTTTGTTTTCTTATAAAATAAAACACTTTAAATGTTACATAAGCCAAAGTAAAGCTAATTTTATTTTTTTCTTTTGAAAGATTCATAGTATACCTATTCTTTGTAGTAAAATACACATAGCACTTATCATTTTAGCCATTTTTAGGTATACAGTTCAGTTTACATTGTTGAACCACTATCACCACCATCCATATCCAGAACTTTTCATCTTCTCAGGTTGATACTCTGTACCCTTTAAACAATAACCCCTCACTCCCTTTCTTTTTTTTTTTTTTTTTTTTAATATGTTTTATTGATTTTGTACAGAGGAAGGGAGAGAGATAGAGGTTTGAAACATCCATGAGAGAGTCATCGATCAGCTGCCTCTTGCACACCCCCTATGGGGATATGCCCGCAACCAAGGTACATGCCCTTGACCGGAATCGAACCCGGGGCCCTTCAGTCCCCAAGCTGATGCTCTATTCATTGAGCCAAACCAGTTTCGGCCTCACTCCCTTTCTTAATGCCACAAAACCAATGCTCTTTGAAGAGCATCAATTACTATCACACTAATTTTGAGTTAACAACAGTTATTGCATTGTAAAGGTTTTATATCAGACATTTTAAAAATAATTCAATATTCTTTTCCTTCTGAAAAACTGTTTATGCTGAATTCTGTTTTGATTTTACTCTAATAAGAATGATGTGGACTTGTTTTCTCGCTTTGACCAAAAGCCAAATTGCAGTGAATTCTTCCTTCTCAATATTAATTTTTAAATTTTGGTCTTCAAATAGTCTAAAGATGCATCTACTAATATTTCAATAAAAACTTAAGTTTTTAAGATGTGCTTATTCTAAATCTGGTCAAAATTTTGAGTACCATTCCTCTTTTATCATAACAGGCTATCATAATGAACTTTCTTCTACTTTAAAGAAATTCTTATTCTTTTTTTTTTTATTGGCTAAAGACACTTTCTAAAAAAATTATTTAAGCTGTACTTGTTGATCATATTGATTCAGGTATTTTGGCTGTAAAGTGACTGTATACCATTTTCTTACTTTTGTCTAGGTCTTATATGAGCTACCCACCAACACACAGTGGTGCTTTGATATTCAGTGGTGTCCCAGAAATCCTGCTGTCTTGTCAGCTGCTTCCTTTGATGGGCGTATCAGTGTGTACTCTATCATGGGAGGGAGTACAGATGGTTTGAGGCAGAAACAAGCTGACAAGGTAAAAGGAAATGTTGAGGTTTTTTATCATCTTATTGTGTAATTAGTTTTAAAATGATGTTAACTGGTTAACAATACTGATTAATTGGATAACTGCAATAAAAGAATTCTTGGATATAACTTGAAAACATGTACAAATTAGAAATACATTATTATTATTATTAATTAAAAAATTTTTTTTTTTAGCTTTCATCATCTTTTGGAAATCTTGATCCCTTTGGCACAGGACAGCCCCTTCCTCCATTACAAATTCCTCAGCAGGCTGCTCAGCATACTATAGTGTTGCCTTTGAAGAAGCCACCCAAATGGATCCGAAGGCCTATTGGTGCTTCCTTTTCAGTAGGTGGATTTGTTTTTATGGTCTATAATCACAAAGGACTTATCATAGAAAAGTGTTATTGTAGAATCACTCTGCTGGAAGAAGATTGAGTTTGAAATGTGTCTGTGATTTTTTTCTTCATTTAAAATGGCTTCTCAGGAAAAGTGGGATCTACTCCTTTTTTTTTCCTTTTCTTTTCTCTTCTTCCTTTTTTCTTTTAAATATTTTTATTGATTTTAGAGGGAATGGGAGAGGGAGTGAGATAAAAACAACATTGATGAAAGAATCATTGATCAGCTGCCTCCTGCATGCCCCCTGCTGGGATTGAACCAGCAACCTGGCCATGAGTCCTGACTGATAAACTATGAGCTCTTGGTTCATAGGTCCATGCTCAACTACTGAGCCAAATTGCTTAGGGCTATTTTGACCATTTAAAAACATAACAGTGGCATTAACTACATTCACATTGTTGTACAACAACAATCTATCTCTTCCTTCACCTTTTTAAACTTGTCTTCTTTCTATATCTCCTCTTTCATTCCTTTTGTGGGTTTTTTTAAGGAGATTTTTTTGTAGGAGGTTGTGTTCTTTCTTCTCTTCTTTCTTCTTCCCTTGGAGTTTGGGGGGGGGGGGGGAGAGAGAGAGAGAGAGAGAGAGAGAGAGAGAGAGAGACTGACTTGTTGTTCCACTTATTGATGCATTCATTCTTTAATTCTTGTATGTGCCCTGACTAGGGATCGACTCCAGGTGTATCAAGATGATGCTCTAAACAACTGATCTACCCAGCCAGGGCTATACTTTCTATTTTTAACCTTCCCCAATTTTTTTTTTCAATTTTTATAAATTACATTACTAAGATTTAAAAAATATTTTTATTATCTTCAGTAGTGATATTTAAGTTTTCTGTATTTGTTTTGGATGATTTAAAAAGCTGATGGCTAGCAAAGAGCATTTATATTCTTATAATGTAGCATTATAATGATAATACATAGAACCAATTAAATAAATAAACCTAATTGTCCTGTTAAATTCAGTTTAGGTCTTGTTTTTGGGTGCAGTTTTCTCAAACTTCCCTAAAACTTGAGAAAACCCAGTGCTTCTTGGCCTTCTCTGAAGTTCCATATCATGGTCTTATCTGTGCTTATATCCATTTTTATTTTCATATTAGTTTCTTAAGGATAGTGGCTTATGTTTTATGTCTTGGTATTTCCTATTATGCCTGACATAACAAACACTTTTAATATATAAAATATTTAATAAGATAAGTTGTGTAGTCCTGGCTGGTGTGGCTCAGTTCTCTGGAGCATCATCTGTATACCAAATAGTGGCGGGTTCCATTCCCTGTCAGGGTACATATCCAGGTTTCTGATTCGATCCCTGGTTGGGCTGCATGTGGGAGGCAGCCAGTCAATGTTTTTCTCTCACATTAACTGCTCCCATTATATTCTCTTTATTTTTTTCTCTCTCTCTAAAATAAATAAAATATATTTTAAAAGAAAAGATTAGTTGGTGTAAAGATCATAATCCTTGTATAAAAATTACTGAGTATAAAGAACCAAATTTGTTCCTGTATTTTCTTCTTTACCTATGTTTATTTTTTTATGAATACATTAACTAGATATTAACTATCTACTTGCTATATACAAGGCAGATATTGGGTAATTTAGGTAATTAAAGAATACAGTAGACACAGAGCCTTCCTTGTAAATATAGAGAAGACACAACTTTGCATTTATCCTCCTAGGTTTTTTGGCCTGGTCTAAGAATTAAATTGACATAGGATAGAATAAAAGAAAAGCATACTGATTTTTACATGTGCATGGAAGTTCCATAGGAAAATGAAGACTCAAAAAAGTGGCAAAGCTTGAGTGCTTATATACTGGATTGAACAGATGGCAGTTGTAAAAATGTAAAAATATAGAAAGAGACTAAAGGGAAATAACTTATTTAACAACTGTTTGTACAGATTTCTCTCGGCCTTAATTTTCATCTCTGGTTTTAAGAATGTTTCTTTACTCTTAGTATAGGGAGAGCAGTTCTCATATGGAAGTTTCATCTTCTACTTTCAGAAAAGGTCAGAGTGCCTTGTTCCTGCTCGTTTTCAAGTAATCATTAGCTTAAATTTATCATTATGTCAAATGGAATATTTTACAAGAGTGGTCTATTCTGCCATCCTCTAAAACTCTAGAACAGCATCTGAGGCAAATACATATAATAGTTGAATCAAAAGAGCTATATAATAGGCTGAAGACATCTGGGATGGAAGAAGTGACATTGCTTGGGTCTTGAAGGAAAGTAACATTGAGCACATGGAAGTTATTAAAATCAAGTAGGTGAGAAACTGTGGGGCACAGTAAGTAATCATTTTTATCTAGAAGGAGGGTTTTGTGAAGAGGAATAATAATTGAAGACAGAATCAAATTTATGGGTATGGAAGAGTGTGTCAACTAACTTTATCCAAAGGAATATGTATGTATTTATTTAGGTCACAGTTCTTTCTGTTAGCATGTTTACAATACCATGTTTTCTGGCCACATCTTTGTGGTTCAAACTGATTTTGTTTGTTTTCTCTTTTATAGTTTGGAGGCAAACTGGTTACCTTTGAGAATGTCAAAGTACAGTCTCAGCAGGGAGCTGAGCTGCAGCCGCACGTGTTCATTAGTCAGGTTGTAACTGAAAAGGAATTCCTCAGCCGATCAGACCAACTTCAGCAAGTTGTGCAATCACAAGGCTTTGTCAATTATTGTCAGAAAAAAATTGATGCTTCTCAGTCGGATTTTGAAAAAAATGTGTGGTCCTTTTTGAAGGTAAAGTTGGAATTAAAACAATTTTATTTCATTACTTGCAAATTTAACTACTATTATATTCTAAATCTGTCTTTCTATTAAAGAAACAATTAGAAGAATGTGATGAAATTAAGGAATCCTTATGAAGAGGACATGACCTAAGTTTTTATGTTAAGAGTTCTTCCTTCTCTTTTTCCCCTTCTCTTTTTTGAAAGGCCTAATATGAAGTACTTTTTTTAATAAGTAAAAAACAATATAATAGATGAACTTAAGTGAGAAAGATGTACTATTCACGAAACCTGTTTTAAAATTAGAACATAGAACTTAGTATACTAAAAAACATAAGTATAATAAAGAAAGTACATTTATTTCTTGTGATCGATCCAGTTAAGGAAAATAGGAAAAGACAGAAGAGATATAGGGGAGAGAGGTTATAGGAATTTCCTATCCTTTTTACTGAGTTGGATTTATGACAGTAGAATAACAAATATAATTTTCTGGTTGATCATTTACCTCCACTGGAATGTCTATTCTTGGTAATGAATTTTCCAAAGAAAAGAGATCTTGAATCAAGATGTTAAATTCTAAAATTACAATTTATCTTTATATTTTTAATAATTCATGAAATTTAATAATACATGAAACTTGATCAGTTAATTAAAAATTAGGCCTTTATAAGCGGTCTTTGTTTCAAGTATATGTCTTTTTTAAAGGTAAACTTTGAAGATGATTCTCGTGGAAAATACCTTCAACTTCTAGGATACAGTAAAGAAGACCTAGGAAAAAAGGTAAACTTTTGGAAAAGTGAAAAGTTTGTTCTTACACAAGTAAAATATATTTATGTAGAATAGGTTTTTTAAAAATAAAGTTCTATATTGGACAGTGTAGCCCACCGGGGGTACATGTAAGAGGCAGCCCATTGATGCTGTTGCTCTTTCATTGATTTCTATTACTCTATCCTTCTCCCTTTCTCTCTCTCTAAAAATCAATAAAAGCATTACAAATAAAGTTCTGCACAGACAATCTCATTCAATAAACATTTATAAGAATTTGTTTTGGGTTGCCTAAGTTTTGCGTACTATTGTTAAATGTGGAATTCCACACTCTACCTGGATTTTGAAGCTACCAGAACCACCTACAATTTAAAGAGCTATGTCAGAAAGGATTGGGCTTTGAATGATAAGAGGTGTAAACCGCCTGCTGGTTTGGCTCAGTGGATAGAACTTCAGCCTGTGGACTGAAGGGTCCCAGGTTTGATTCTGGTCAAGGGCACATGCCCAGGTTGCAGGCTCGATCCCCACTGGCAGCATGCAGGAGGCAGCCGATCAATGATTGTCATCATTGATGTTTCCATCTCTCTCCCCCTCTCCCTTCTTCTCTGAAGTCAATAAAAAATATTTTTTAAAGAGGCTGTGAACCTCAAGCACTGGAAATAACACAGATTTTTAGGAGGGTGTGTAACAGGTGACTTGGAGGGAGGGGGAGAGAGGGAAACTTTAGAGATCTCCCCACATTCAATACAATTTAAGTGGTGAAAAATAGGGTACTATTTCAAGCTATCACCATTTTCCACTCTAATTGTTCTTGTCTTTAGCCCACAATTTCCAAACTGTGTGTTGAGTTGTTTCAGCTAACAATAAGTAAATATTCTATTAGGACAAGGGTGATTTATTGTACTCAAACTGAATAAACAAAAAGTCCAAGAGATTTGCTTAATACTTTAATTTTTTGAAGATTACCTTTTAAAAAGGAAGTTGTATTCCAGTTTTACAGTTTTCTTCTCTAAGAGTGGCTTAATTATTATTCCACAATGTTGGCATGAACAGGAGTAGAATCACTCTGACTTTGGAAACCTTGAAGGACATATTATAGATTCTTTGTGTAATTTATATTAACCTTTGTCATTCTTTGAAAATGATTAAAGTTTTCTATAGCGTTGCAGGGTTGTCACATACGTGGTACAGGTTGGATACTGTTATGCTAGGCTTTTGAACACATGCTCTCAGTCTTGGGGGTCACATCACAGCCTCACTGGCTTTGTGTCTTTGATCAGTCCTTAAGATTTTTTTTATATTAACTTTATTATTAGTGTACTCTTCTTCATGCTTTAACTTCTTTAGGTTTTTAAGATATTGATATGAAAATGTTACTGCACACCAGATAGCAAAAACTAAGGAAATAGAATGTGATTGTCAAAATACTGCTTATAGCAGTTCTTTCCAGAGTGAGTACCTTAAGAAATATTTTAAAAAATATTTTAAAAAGTTATAGTTATTTTATTTAAAACAAAGTAGAAGAAAACATGCTTATTTTGAAGTTAGCTTTGTCATTGAGTGAGGTGATGCGTGAGCAGTGGAACTCCTCGTGATTGAAACTAGAACCATTGAGAATCGGTTCTGCAGAGATTTTATTCTTTTCTTACACATGCTGTTCCTGAACTGAACTTTTGTGCATTTTTTCCAATGAGAATGGAGTAAGAGGTGAACGTTTGCTATGTACCTTAAAATAGAATTCCATTTAGTAGGTGAGTTGTTGTTTTTATTTCAGATTGCTTTGGCCTTGAACAAAGTGGATGGACCCAATGTGGTAAGAAGGCCTTTAAAAATGTTGGTCTAGGACATGACAAAAAAGGAAATGTAATTTTAGAAATTTGTCTGTTTTATTGCTTTATGTTGTGAAAATAAATGCTGATTGTAGATATTTTAATAAGTGAATTCTCATGTTAACATAATGTAAATTTAGCTGGTAGAGCATTTCTTATTTAAGCTGGTAGAGCAATCCTTATTTACTAGTAACTGGTAGAGCATTCCTTATTTACTAGAAGCTGGTAGAGCATTCCTTATTTACTAATAGCTGGTAGAACATTACTTATTTAGCTGGTAGATCATTCCTTGCTCTTGACAGTATATGAATTTCACAAAAGAGGAAAAACAAAATGACTGCTCACATACTTAAGGTTAAGTTCTTTGATGCTGAGGGGGCATTTAGTAGGAAAGAAAGGGAAGGTCTCAGCTGTAATGGCTTTTTGCTTTTCCTCTAATGGTGTTTCTCAAATAAATTTACTTAGTATTGTTTCTTATGATTAAACTAGCTCTGAATGTTGTTTATTGGGTCGTTTGTCTTCCTTGTTCACTAATAACCTTTTAATGCTACATTCTTCAACTTCCTCTGCAATTGTTTTGTGTACTTAAGGCTCTTAAAGACTCTGACCAAGTAGCACAGAGTGATGGGGAGGAGACCCCCGCTGCTGAAGAGCAGCTCTTGGGAGAGGTACTTATTATTTTTTTCATTTTTAGTTATATTGGAAAAATATATGCTATTTGTTTATCTCACATTGAAATATGGACATTTTTATTAACTACTTGTTCCAAAGAAAAATGGAATAAATTGTTTCCTTAGAAATGTTTAAGGTAGGAGTCTGTTTACTAATTTGAATGAAGTATTATCTCTAAAATCTTTAGTTCTCTGACCTGGTTTCTGAATTATATGGTTTAAAATGAACAGTTGATGTGAGGTTGACTTAATTTGGTCATGTGGATATGATGTCAACCTGAGAAGATATTTTATTCAGAAAATTTCAGAGCATTGTATGTAAAGTTGATGTTTTTTCTTGGCATATTAATATTTAGGACCCACTCAAGTGACATAAACTTCTGAATTAGTCTCTTGAACTTTGAGTTCAAGTAAAGGGTATTTCATTAAATAAACTGTCATAATTTACTGTAAATGTATTCTGGATTGTAGGTGACAATTTTTACAGTAGTTTAAAAGAGTCCTTGAACACAAGAGTTGTACCATTAATTTTTTTCCTTTTAATTTTTTGTTTTTTTAAACTAATAAATAACACTATAATTACTTTTAAATTATATTTCATCGTGGATCACTAACAAGTTCTTTTTTCTCATCTTTGACTTTTTCATTGTTTCTTGTATAAGGGGCTATCCTGATTATGGAATGTTTCTTACTAACTTTTACTAAGTTATAAATGTAATTCATCAATAAATTTAAACTACTACAATATGATTATAAAAAACATTTTTCTTAGAAGTAATAGCATTTATTTAACTTGAGAATAAAGGATCATGGTTAAAAATCTTACAAAAATTTTGAACTAATTTTGGGAATACCTAGACAAAATTGTAGGGTACATTAAAGAAATGTTCTTCCATTTATGTATAACTAGATTAACTATCTATTGTTACATAGAAGATCATTTGGAGATATACTCACGAATTAATAGCTGAGAATAATACTATGTATTTAATAAAACAGTAGTCACCAGTGTATATTTTTGAGAGTATTTGAAAAAATTGTAGAAAGATAAAATCTTCCCCTTTATTTTGATGATGCTATTTATCAAACATAGTAGATTACACATTGAAGATACTCAACATGTAATAAATGGTACATTTTTGTCTTATATATATTTCAGAAGTTCATAAATAAAGGTTTAAGAATTTTTTTAGAATTCTTTTTGAAAGATTGTGAGTTAAAATAAAAAAATACTGTTTTGGTGTGTTTGTTAGTGAACATAATCAGATCAGAATCTGATTTATTTCTTAATGTGAATAATAAGTTCTGATTATTTTATTTGAGTTGAAATGTTTCTCTTTAATTGGGCAAAGAATTAAGGTTATAGTTATTCCCCTAAAATAGTCCATATTAACTAATTAAGCATTATTTACATATGCTGTGTCTGCACTAAAATTACCCAATCCAAAAATGTCCCTGACTTTGAATATTAGGTGCTTTTACATTCAATTGTACAGATCTGACAAGCACAGAAGATTTGTCTTCTATCTCATCTGTGCTTTTCTTTAAAATTTTCTGTTATCTCTGATATATTTTATTTTTTTGTCTTCTTTTGAATTTTTATATATAGAAGAGAAGGCATTTAAACTATGTGCTCCCCCCCCCCCCGCCCCGCACCCCTCCCCTCTCCAGCCCTGCCAAAGCCCTAGCTGGTTTGGCTCAGTGGATTGAGTGTTGGCCTGCAGACTGAAGGGTCCCAGATTCATTTCAGGTCAAGGGCACATGCCTTTGTTACAGGCTTGATCCCCAGTATGGGGCATGCAGAAGGCAGCTGATCAATGATTTTCTGTCATCATTAATGTTTCTGTCTCTCCCTCTCCCTCTCCCTCTCTGAAATCAATAAAAATATATTTAAAAATAAAAAAGTATTTGCCAGCAATATGCCTCCATTATATACTTTTCTCCTAAAGAAAAAAATTTTTGAATTTATATTTACTCAGTCTTACACATATCTCAGAAATTTATATCAGTGTATATATTTTTACCAGACTAATATGTTCTGGGAATGGCTAATTGAAGAGAACGCAAAATCTATTCATAATCTGTTTATATTGCATTTATGTAAGGACAGCAGAGGATTTTTTTCCCCATGACTTATTCAATAAAAACAAAAAGACCCTATAGCTAAAACTAGTAGACAGAAAATTTTAGATGTGTAGAAGCAGGTTTATTTTGAAATCTAAGTTAGTCTGATTAAAAACATTATTTTGTAGCCAAAATCGGTTTGGCTCAGTGGATAGAGTGTCTGTCTGGGACTGAAAGGTCCCGGTTCCATTCCGGCAAGGGCATGTACCTTGATTGCGGGTACATCCCCAGTAGGGGGTGTGCAGGAGGCACCTGGTCTATGTTTCTCTCTCATCGATGTTTTTAGCTCTCTATCCCTCTCCCTTCCTCTCTGTAAAAAAAAATCAATAAAATATATTTTAAAAAAACAAACACGTTATTTTGTATATTTTAAGCTATTCTTTGCCAAGGCATCTAAGAAAACAAAAACTCAGCTTCAGTTACTTTTGAGCTACCAACAATGGATCTGTATACTTCAGTTTATTTAACATTACTTCTGATGATCTTGGGTTTTTGTGATTGTACAATAGTAGTTAATTCATAGGAAAGTCATAGATATATTAAGTGTATACTTGGATCTGAGTACTTTTCTTAAATAACTTGGCATGTCATCCAGTCAGTAGATGAATAATCATATAAATTTTGTTTTGCCGAAAAATTGTTTTACAATTTCATTCTCGTAAATTGCTGCCCTTTTATCTCTTTAGCACATTAAAGAGGAAAAACAAGAATCTGAATTTCTACCTTCAGTTGGAGGACCATTTAACATCTCCATCAGTGGGGGTAAGTACCATTGGTTTAACTTCTGATTTTTTTTTTTAACCATTTGAAAGCAAATATTAATAGTTCCTAAGCTTAAGTTAGAAATGTTTTGTCGCAGGTGATGGAGGGTTGAAAAAAAGAACCCATTTATATGTGTAATTATGCCTTAGAAATGGTAGCGTGTTCTTGACACCTATGTGATAGAAACTATAGGATGATATTTATTACTCCAGGTTAGGAAATCTGGAAAATGTGTTATCTTAACTGATTTAACGTACATGCTCTTGGTATATTTCCATAGATCACAACCACTTGTGTTAGAAATTAATCACCAGTAATATTCAGAAATTAGCATTTTTTTCTTTTGTGTGTGTGCATGTAGAGGTTGTTATGTGTAGTATTTTTCCTTGTAACAAAGATATTTATTTAACTTGGATGTTTTATTTCTTTATTGCAGATATTGATGGTTTAATTACTCAGGCTTTGCTGACTGGTAGCTTTGAGAGTGCTGTTGACCTTTGTTTACATGATAACCGCATGGCTGATGCCATAATATTGGCGATAGCAGGTGGACAAGAACTTTTGGCTCGAACCCAGAAAAAATACTTTGCAAAATCCCAAAGCAAAATTACCAGGGTATGTTATTTTAAAAATAGATAAACAGTAACTCTTATCTGATTATAAAAGCAATAGACTCTCATATAGATCAGCAATTTTCAACCTTTTTCATCTTATGGCACAAATAAACTACTAAAATTCTGTGCACACCAAAAAAGATATTTTTTGCTGATCTGACCCAAAAGGGTATAATTTTGATTCACTCACACCAGAAGGCTATTGTTGTGTTGGCTGTTGTCCTTTTTTATTTAACCGTCTAAGGGAAAAGAAGTCAGTACACCTGAATAGTCAGGTATTGCATGTTTTAAAAATTCTTGTGGCACATTCATATACCTGCCATGGTATACCAGCTGAAAATTGCTATTATAGATCATTGAAATGCAGAAAACAGTAAAAAACAAAAGTCCCATCCATAATTTATGGACCCAGAAATAGTTATTGTTGATAGTCTGGTGTATTTTTTTTTTGTTCTTTGCATATATAATTTTTAAAATGAGTAATACTTTTCATATCTTTTTATTGTATAAAATTTTCAAAAGAACATAGCACATTTTAAATACAAAAATTTAGCACCTTTTAATTCTCCCATCAGATTAATTCCTTTTAATCTCAATTTGGTTGCAGTTTTTTATACGTCTTCCTATATATTTTAGAACTTAAAAAAAAACAAAAACAGAATCAGGATCATATATGTATATTTATGTGTTGTTTTGCTTATAGATATTGTCACTTACATTGTAAACATTTTCTCATATCATTAAAGATTCTTAAAAAAAATTAATTGTTCTATAATATTCTATAGCAGTGATATATGATTTCCCTTATTTTGGGAATGTTTAGGTAGTTTATAACATTTTCCTAATATAGATAAGTTAGTGATAAATATCCTTGTTATGCCTAAAATCTATAAGGATTTCTAATTATTTAATGAAGCTATATGTAGTCCTAGCAAAGGAATTTCTGGTGCAGAGGGTCTAAACATTTTTAAGCCTCTGTTAATGTTACTAAATTTCTTTTAATAAAAGTTGTCCCAGGGCTAGTCCTTCTAAAGGTTGCCATCTGTCTCCTCAGCCTTGTCTCAGGTCACTTTCTCCCTTTTATCTTTCAGCCACACTGGCTGCCTTTCAGTTCCTCATATTCTCCACGTGCCTTTCTCTCTCAGGACTTTGTACCTAGTGTTCCCTTGGCCCTAAGTGTTGTTTTTCTACTTGATGAAGTTAATTCAAATGTCTATATGCTCAGAAAGTTTTTCTTGATCCATTAGACCAGGTCATGTCTTCCTGCCTGTTAAATGTTTGGATAACTCCATACTTTTCCTTCTCAGAATTTAATCCAGTATGTTTGTATGATTTTTTTTAGAAGAAAAATAGTACTATATTCTATGTCAATTGGTTCAAGGATATATTTTCCTTTGCTGCTGCTTTATTTAACATGAAATACTATACATAATAATAGTTTTTGAAAGGTATGATTGGTTACTCAGAGCTAATTGTTACTAATATACCAAATGTTTTTAATTTTCCCTTTGTTTTCCTTTTCCAAGCTAATTACTGCAGTGGTGATGAAGAACTGGAAAGAAATTGTTGAGTCTTGTGACCTTAAAAATTGGAGAGAGGCTTTAGCTGCAGTATTGACTTATGCTAAACCTGATGAGTTTTCAGCCCTTTGTGGTAAGAAAGTGAGCTTTATATTGTATATATGACATGGTTTATTATAAATAAAATTGACAAATGTTATTAGAAATTTTTATAAACCTACCAATCACAGTGAGAAAACAGAGTTCTGCTCAAGTCAGTTTGGCTCAGAGGATAGAGCATTGGATTGGACCTGTGGATTGAAGGGTCCTGGGTTCGATTCTGGTCAGGGGCACATGCTGGGGTTGTGGGCTTGATCTCCGGGGTGGGGTGTGATTTAACATCCAAGTTAAATCAATGAAAATATATTTTAAAAAAGAAAGAAAAGAAAAAAAGGAGTTCTTATTTGAATGTTTCAGAATTGTTAACTACATTACATTTCCATATCTAATCATTTAAAAAATATATTTTTATTGATTTCAGAGAGGGAGAGGGAGAGAGAGATAGAAACATCAATGATTTGAGAAAAATCATAGATTGGCTGCCTCCTGCACACCCCACAATGGGGATTGAGCTCCCAACCTGGGCATGTGCCCTGACCAGGAATCCAACTGTGACTTCCTGGTTCATTGGTCGATTCTCAACCACTGAGCCACACCATTTGGGCACTAGTCGTCGTCGTCATCATCATCATCATCATCATTCTAAAATATATTTTTATTGATTTCAGAGAGGAAGAGAGACAGAGATAGAAACATCAATGATGAGAGAGACTCATTGATCAGCTGCCTCAGCCACTGGGATCGAGCCCGAAACCCGGGCATGTGCCTTGATGAGGAATTGAACCTGACCTTCTGCTTTATAGATGGGTACTCAACCACTGAGCCACGCTGGCTGGGCCTAGTCATTATTTTTAATAATATTGTTTAATGATTTTGGTTTCAGACAGACACGTCTTAGAATCTTGCCTCTGCTACTTATTAGTTGTACAAACTAGTCAAAATTACTTTCTAAGCTTTATTCTACTCGTATGTAAAAGGGCATATAATCAGCTCTTACTTAATGTTTGTTATCTTGATAAAATTAATAATTATAACATTTGAGTAGAAATTGCTGTTGAAAACCATGACTAAACTGTGGCTAAGGAATAATATTATTTGTAAGAACAGAAATTTCAGGCTGCTTAGTATAAGAAGGAACAGCATTTTGCTACCTGGAAAGTATTATAAGACTATGAACATTATAAGAGATTAATTTTATTATTACAAAGTAATTTATAGTAATCATAGCTGTCATTGACGTTTATTTCAAATATGCCATATTTTTGCCGCTTACAAAAGCATCTGATGTGATAAAATGGAGTAAAATGCTTCTTGGAATTTTTCTGTACAAATATTGTTTTCATTTATTTTTTCTAATGTAAATCCGTTCAATAGGTAGGCATGGAATCTTAAGAAGTTGTTCATTATACAGAGTTTGTCACACACTTTCTCATTCCTTTGACAAATATTTACTGAGCATTTATATAATAGTTATTTTGTTTCTACCTACTACTTACTGGCTGTGAAGTTTAATCCTTATTTCTGGAAATGATATTGGGCTGCTCATGATCTCATATAGATTGCCTTGGGTATAATCGTATTTTGTTTTCCTCTTGATCTATAGATCTTTTGGGAACCAGGCTTGAAAGTGAAGGTGATAGCCTCCTGCAGACTCAGGCATGTCTCTGCTATATTTGTGCAGGGAATGTAGAGAAATTAGTTGCATGCTGGACTAAAGCTCAGGATGGAAGCAACCCTTTGTCCCTTCAGGTTAGTATCTTTGAAACAAAGGATGCTTCCTTTTCAGTTGTCCTTCACCCTACATATAGTTTAGAAATTAATTTGCCCCAGAAGTTCATTGCTTTCACCCTATTTATATTTTAGTTCTTTTTTTGGATAGTTATGTGTATTTATTGCTGTATTTAGAGGGGCAGAGTTTGAGATGATGGGATAAGTTAAATGGAGTTGCAACTATTTGTGAGGTCAAGGTTGTTAAGGTGGCTTATTGGGGGAAGTAGGTGGCAAAAGCATGAAAACAGCCCTTGCTTTACCTCTTTTCCTCATGCTCCTCTCTCTGCCTCTAGTGAAACTGTCTGCTTTAGGCAAAGAAAGAAGCATTGTGGGGTATCACCAGTACCAATAGAGAATCTTCATGGTTAAGGGGAAATGAAAGAGGTCAGTGTAATCCTGTGTAACATTAATACATGGACAGGGAGGAAGTAGATAATTATTCTCAGGCACTGACTAATTATATATTTAAGTTTTGTCCCTAAGCATTTAATCAGCAGAGTCTCTTGGTATTTCAGTCTAATATATTTTATATATATATATATATATATATATTTTTTTTTTCATCCATCCATCCCCCAGAAAGATGTTTTTTCAGTAGTGTTGTTTTAAAGATCACTCTGTTGAAACTGAAAATCTGGTAAGAAATCAAGGTTTTCCTCCTATGTGCTTCTGAGAGAAAACACACTTTTGGATTTATGAAGGGCAGATAGGTAGGATATTCTTATGCTTTATACCTGAAGTCTAGCTCCCATTTTTTAAAAATTGTTGTTATCGAAGAATAACATGAGAAATTTTGGGTTAATATAGTAAGCCCATTTGAAGGTCATATTATAATAATACTGTTTTTATAATATAGGTAAAACGAAGTGTTCTCTCATAGTTTCTCTTATACCTGCTGGAATCCAAGTTTCTGCCTTTGGACATCTGACTCTCACTTTCACTTTGGATATTTGCCTATTTTAGCTTATGAGTATCTGGCAGTTTAAGGATGTTTAGGAGAAGGTGGTAACCTATCCCCTATTCTTGAGTAGGAGACCTTCTTCCCCCTTACTTTTTCAGTTCCCTAAATGGTGGTTAGTTATCCCAGGCCTTTCTAAGAGAGATGATAGGTACTGTGCTTTTAATTGGTTTTAGATATCTTAGTAACTCTTTTTCTATTTCTTTTCATACACATCTTGGAATCTTCGTCTTTCTTCTTTACTCTCCTTCCTTTTTCTCATTTAGGATCTGATTGAGAAAGTTGTCATCCTACGGAAGGCTGTACAACGCACACAAGCCATGGACACTAATACTGTAGGAGTTCTTTTGGCTGAGAAGATGAGTCAGTATGCCAATTTGTTAGCAGCCCAGGGCAGTATTGCTGCAGCCTTGGCTTTTCTTCCTGAGAGCACCAACCAGGTAATTCGAATTGATTATTTTTCTCCCAACGTACGAGTATGATGAGTCCAGTACAATAGCACTCAGTATTAAACATACAAGTGGGTAGAATGTTTGGAAGGATTGAATTTCTGTCATATGATTGTAGGTGAATGTTATTGTATGACAGTTTTGTGTTTTTTTAAAATATATTTTTATTGATTTCAAAGAGGAAGGGAGAAAGAGAGAGAGAAAAACATCAATGATGAGAGAGAATTATTGATCAGCTGCCTCCTACATGCCCCACACTGGGGATACAGCCCACAAACAAGGCATGTGCTCTTGACTGGAATTCAACCTGGGACTCTTCAGTCCACAGGTCAACACTCTATCCACTGAGCCAAATCAGCCAGGGCGGTGTGACAATTTTTCAAGGATCATTTTAGGTATACACAAGCTGTGTCAGATAGGATGCTCTTATAATAGAGCCCTTTGTATGGAGGGTGATAGTATTTGAGGAAAATAAATAGGAAAAGGACCAACTTTTTGTTTCTTAAGCCAAATGCTAAGTCTGTCCACAAGTGTCTTTGTAGGAATTTTCCATATTGAAAAGCTATATATGTTAATACTTAGACTAGTGGGCTGTAACTTAAAAATTCCCACAATGTCCATCCCAGATATTAGTGAAGAAGTTCATTCAATATGCCATTTCAGTCTGATACCATTTGTGGGCAAGTATGTTTTTAAGTATTCAAGACAGGAGAACTACATTACATTCCTAATTTATTTTCCTTAGTTGGTGTGTAATAACACCCAGACTTTTCATTGTATTGGTTTTAATTCAATTCATTTAGTAACTGAGGATCCAGTGATTAGCAAGAGTACCAAGATCCTTTTCCTGGGGGAGTTTCCAAACTCAAAATGACTGTGGATAAATGAACATGAAATTCCAAAAGTGCAGAGTGCTGTGGTAGAGGTAGTGCTGTGGGAACACACAAGAGGAAACCTAAAACCCATAATGGGGCATGGGTGGGAATCAGGATGGGGTTTGAGGAAAGTATTTTCGTTTTGTAATTTATAAACATTTAGAAAAATATGTTTTTATTAATTTCAGAGAAGGGAGAGGAAGAGAGATATAGAAACATCAATGATAAGGAAGAATCATTGATTGGCTGCCTCCTGCATGCCCCCTACTGGAGATCGAACCCTGACCAGGAATTGAACCATAACCTCCTGGTTCATAGGTTGATGTTCAACCATTGAGTCACACCAGCTGGGCTGAGGAAAGTTTTTATAACCACAATGTGTGTCTGCAGCTTATTTTTGAGCTTTGCAGATATTTTTTCTCTATACTTTTTTTTTTTTTTTTTTACTGTTGTATGAATTAGTCTGTGGTTTTTAATATTATTTTTTAAATCTTTATTGTTGAAAATGTAACATATGTCCCCTACCCTCCACCCCCCATTGACCCCTTCTAGCCCACCCTAGGCCTTCACCACCCTAATGTTTGTATCCATGGGTTAATCACATATGCATATAAGTTCTTTGATTGATTTCTTCTCACCCTCCTCTGTCTTTTTATTGTAATCTTTATTCTGTTTTAATGAATTTTTTTTTTTTTTAGTTAAAATTGTTTTTAGTATTTTGTCTGTGTTAGGGAATTATCAGTAAACTAGGGGCCTAGTGCACAAAATTTGTGCCCTGGGATGGGGCAGAGTCTCCCTCAGCCTGGCCTGTATCCCCTTGCAGTCTAGGAGCCCACGGGGGATATCCTTGAAGGAGCAGGACTAAACCATCAGTTGGACATCCTTAGCACTGCTGAGGAGGAAGTAGAGGCTCCTGGGACTGCTGCTGCACTCTGGCTGAGCAGTGCTCCCCCTGTGGGTGGGCACTGACCATTGAGCATCTGCTCCCTGATGGTCAGTGCATGTCATTGTGACTGTAGTTCTGCCTGTTGGTCTATTTGGATATATAGGTCTAGAGGCCCAGTGCATGAAAATTCATGCACTGGAGGGAGATTTCCTCAGCCCAACTTACCCCCTTTCACAGTCCTGGAGCCCTTGGGGCAGGAGGCAATCTGGTGATCAGTGGAAGGTGATGCCCCCATCACACCTCTGCAGCTGCCTCTGCCAGCAGCGCAAGCCTCGACCGGCCCAGGTTACCTGAGCCTGGGTGGCCCTGGAGGCTGGACAGCCACCATCTAAGGCTTGCCTGCGCCTGGGGCCGTCCCTGGGCAGCTGGGGGGCTGAAGGGAATGGGGGTCTCTGGAGGCAGGTGTGTGGAGCAGTAGGACCTGTCTGGGGGTAGGCCTGGCCCTGCTGTGCACCTGCCACCCAGGCACGGCTGAGGGGACTGGGTGTCGCCATCTTTTGGCTGTGGGTGCTGCCATCTTTGAGGGCATGGCAGTCAATTAGCATATTCTAGGTGTCACCATCTTTATGAAGGCATGATAATCTATTAGCATATTTCTTCTTTATTAGATGGGATTTCATTGAGTAAAAACACTTAACATCTGTATTCCAGGACTGTGGTGGTAAGATTCTGCAGTTGTTTTTTTATTTTTTAATATATTTTATTAATATTTTACAGAGAGGAAGGGAGAGTGAGAGAGAGTTAGAAATATGGATGAGAGAGAAGCATCAATCAGCTGCCTCCTGCTTACCCCCTTCTGGAGATGTGCCCACAACTAAGGTACATGCCTTTGACCGGAATCGAACCTGGGACCCTTGAGTCCACAGGCCGAAGCTCTATCCACTGAGCCAAACAGGTTAGGGCTGCAATTAGTTTTATATACACTTACATGTAGAATACAGCTCATATTTTCTAAATTGTTAATAAACATATTAGGTAGAATAGAAACTTAATCTTTATGATGATTTTAGAGAGGAAGGGAGAGGGAGAGAACGATAGAAATATCAGTGATGAGAGAACTAGAAATTGAGCCTGCAACCTGGGCATGTGCCCCTTACCAAAATTGAACTTGGGACCTTTCAGTCTGCTAGTTGATGCTCTAACCACTGAGCAACCAGCTAGGGCTTGATGAATTTGACTTAAAAGTTTTATATGATTTTTTACTTAATATAGTCTCATTTAAAAATATATATATATTATTTAGGGGGGAAGAAGGTGATGGGGTGCAGGAAAAAAAAAAAGTATAGAGAAAAATTTTGTGCACTAGGCCCCTAGTTTACTGATAATTCCCTAACACAGACAAAATACTAAAAACAATTTTAACTAAAAAAAAAAATTCATTAAAACAGAATAAAGATTACAATAAAAAGACAGAGGAGGGTGAGAAGAAATCCCAGTATAAACATTAATTAATTGCCTCCTGCATGCACCCAACTGTGGTCTCCTGCATGTGCCCTGACCAGGTGGGGGATTGAACCCACAACCTAGGTATGTGCTCTGACTAGGAATCTAACCTGCAACCCTTCAGTGTACGGGCTATATTCCAATGAACTGAGCCACACCAGTTGGGCAGGTCTCATTTTTATATTATTGAGCTATAAGATGCTTTTATTTTAAGATTAACTTAATCTAATCTAAGATCTTTACATCTTCTAGCCTTAGAATTAAACTGTTTATTTTTAATAATCACATACATTTTCTTTCTTTTTTAATGTGGAACGCTTCATGAATTTATGTGTCATCCTTGCACAGTGGGCCATGCTAATCTTCTCTGTATCATTCCAATTTTAGTATATGTGCTGCCAAAGTGAGCACCACATACATTTTCTATACAGTAAGTCCTCAGAGTACGTCGGAGATCTGTTCCTATGGTGTGACGTAATGCTATTTTCATTGTAAGTCGGAACCTACCTATATAAGCACCTATGTCACTCACATGGAGCACGGACACAGCAGTAATGAAGCGAAACAGTAAAAAAATTTAAAAGAAAGATAACAATTCCTGACCTTGTGGTAAATAAATAATAAAAAACATAAAGCACATATGTACATACGTTGAAATGACAGAACTTTTTTTTTCTTTAAATGGAAGATGGCGATGTGACCACAAAACGATGTATATCAAGTCTGACATAACCCAAGGACTGCCTGTACATTATTCTTTATGGCTTTCTTTGGACTTGTTAAAGAATGTTTTTTATATAAATATAATCTTAATGTTTCTTCCTCCTATGTATCTCATACCCTTAGTATTTTCTGGGGAATATGTCCTGAGATTTTTTTGATATCATCATAGTATACAATTACCCTCCATAAAAGACAATAAAGAATAACTAAAATGTCTCAATGACATGAACTTAAAGAAATCTATAATTTTAAAGATATTGAAATGAATTCTTGCTGAAACAGTTTAACATTACCTTTTTGTTGTTAATATAGAACATATGTATAGTCAGCTCATACTGTAGATCTGCATAATTATAGATCTGTAGAAGTTTCTTTGAGTTTGACATCTTATTTCAAATGTATTTTTTAAAATATATTTTTATTGATTACAAAGAGGGAGAGAGAGAAAGAAATATCAATGATGAGAGAGAGTCACTGATTGGCTGCCTCCTGCATGCCCTCCACCCCCACTAGGAATTGAGCTTGCAACCCAGGCATGTGTCCTTGATTGGAATCAAACCAAGGATCCTTTAGTTCACAAGCCAACACTCTATCCACTGAGCCAGGGCTCAAATATCTTTTTAAATTAACTTTTATCTCTTTCTTAGAGCATCATTTTATTTCATCACTATCTTTAGCAGTTGATTCTCTTTTGGGGCCTTTTTTCCCTACAAAGAAACAAAGTTATATTTTTTTTAACAACTTTTGTGATTTATGAGCATTAATCAACTATAAGAAAACGACAGAAGAGCAGTGATGAGAAGTAGCATTGATTTTGCATGCCACAATGTGGTCAGCATAATTCAAATCACTGCATCAGTTACATTACAAGTTACACTATGTATAATGGACCTTTGGTGTCAAGTCTTGAGTATTAGAATGATGTCAAAACCTAATGTGCAAAGGTCTATCTGTGTGTGTATATATATGAAAGCTTAAACGACCATTATGACCAAATGACCAGAATGACTGAAACAACCGATTGACTAGTTGCTATGATGCCCACTGACCACCAGGAGGCAGATGCTTAATGCAGGGCAGCTCCCAGCCTAGCCAGCCCCCCTATCAGTCCTGATTGGGGGACTGCTGGCCAACCTCCTGTGGCCTTGCCCACCCATCCTCCTGGCTCCCTCATGGGCCTCAATCACTGACCAGGTTGAGGGATCCCACCTGTGTATGAATTTGTGCACCATGCCTCTAGCTAAAAAATAATCAGCGTATGAACAGATATATGAATAATCAATCTTGCAGTCAAACCTCAGTTCTTGAACATCTCTCATTTCTAGCAATTCAGTTCTCAGCCAAGTTATTCATGGAAAAAATTATTAACATCTCAGGAAATTGTGCTATGAATATTTTTGTTCATAGCACAAAAATATTGTGGGGTTTTTTTTCTTTTTAAATTTTATCCCACTCTTTGCTTGTCCCTTTCCCTCAACCCAGACCCTCAACCTCCTTCACCCTTGCCCTGACCTGCTGGCCTGCTCCGCCCCTCCTGCCATGGGGCAAGGTGAAAGGCTGAAAAGGACAGGCCAGTCAGTATCTGAGGTCAGCATTGGGGATCAGGTGACCCTGCAAGGAGGTCTGTTGCTGCTTGTTATTATTTAATACCTATAATAAGTCACCCTGGGTCTTAAGAAGGTTAGTTATAGCAACAGAGTGAAAAGGAAAATTGTGAGAACAAAGTAGAGGTCTGGAGCAGATTAATTCAATCTACATTACTTCTATTGGGAAAAGTGATTCAGTTTTTGAACAGTTCACTTCTACAAATTGCTTCTCAAACAAGGTTGAGAACCAGGGACCACTGTACTTGAAGAAAATCAACATACTGTCATATATTAGGGAGAACTCTAACAATTTGCATTGTTTTCTTCCATTGCTTCTGATAGCCAAATATTGTGCAGCTTCGTGACAGACTTTGCAGAGCACAAGGAGAGCCTGTACCAGGACAGGAATCACCTCAAGTACCTTATGAGAGGCAGCATCTGCCCAAGGGCAGGCCTGGACCAGTTGCTGACCACACACAGATTCCAAGAGTTCCAACTCAACAATATTATCCCCATGTAAGTGAAATAGTCCAGATGAAGTATTGGAACATTTATGTATTTCTGTTCTAATTGGTGGTTTTAGCTTGTTAAGAGACCTCATATGCTATGATAAAACTAGACAACATATTGTTTTAATAGTACATTTTATATTCTTCAAATATTTAAGATGTCCTTTTATTTATTTATTTTAGCATGTTGTGTATTTTTAAATTAGCCTTTAATCTAATCCAATGGATTATATTTCAGATATACATTTAAGCTCTCTAGGGATATTTCTTATTTTTCCATCACTCAAACTTTCCTTACACATACATGTACATTTATTCTTAAAAGTAAAGTGGTGGCAACAATTTTGTGGTTAATTTTAGAAAATAGTCTTTTTTGAGTGTTCTTTCCTGAATTATTAGTGTAGGTTTACTGTGTCTTCTGTATCAGCATAATAAGGAGTATTGAGAATACACACTTTTTGGGGGGACAATTTGGATATTACAGAAAAGTGAGTCACCAAAGGTTTATGAAGTTGTAGTTCACCGTGGATGTGAAAATGATTAAATATTTGTATTAATGAATTAAATTAAAATTGCCAAAAGTTTAGTGGCATAATATGTGTCCCTTATTGTCTTTTACTATTTCATGTAGAGACTTACATTTCTAGACCATCAAATAACCTAGTGTTCTTAAAGGAAAGGTATATTTTTATTAGTAATAAATGGCCTTGATTGAAAACAAAGTTAACAGGTAGATGGCCATTTTATTATTTTTTTTTTACTATGCCCATTTTAAAATAGAACAGATTGCTAATAGAATTGACAAAGTCTTTTCTTTTTTAATTTTTAAAAATATAATTTTATTGATTTCCGAGAGGAAAGGGGGGAGAGAGAAAAAGAGAGTGATAGAAACATCAATGATGAGGGAGAATCATTGATTGACTGCCTCCTGCATGCCCTCCACTGAGAATCAAGCCTGAAACCTGGGCATGTGCCCTGACTTGGTATCAAACTGTGATCTCTTGGTTTATGGGTCAAAGTTCAACCACTGAGCCACACTGGCTGAGCGGCAGGGTCTTTCTTACATTTCATTGTAGCAAAGTAAATATAAAAATCATGAAAATTTAAAAGAAATCAAATCATGCTATTTGGTCTATTATACTTTTTTTGGTGAGTATGTAAATCAAGATAGATTACATTTGGTAACTAGAGTACTCTCTGTTTTAACAGTTTTGTTGTTTATTCATTTGACATTTATTGAGAGCCTTCTGTGAGCACCTGTCCTTATTCTACCTGTTAGAGGTATATTGGTAAATAAAACAGGTTTAATTCTCACTTTTGTGGAGATTAAGACTAACTTGGAAAGTCTATGACAACGGTAGGGCAAATCAGGTGATTGCTGGGAAAACTATGAGGTGGAGAGATCAAGTAATGAACCAGAGTTTTAAGACATAGAGCTTGAATTTTTCACTATTGTGTGGCTAATTAATTGGCAGTTTGGACTAGAACTTCTAAGCACTGTGAGTTGGACCACACTGTCTCTCAGATCCTGAAGTAGTAAGGCATTCTGTACATGGGGAGAAGAAAGTATTTACTCTTTATGTCCTTGGACTTATCTGTCTTTCTAGGAAAACACAAAAACATCAGGACTTTTGTTTTACTTTTGGCTTAGCAGTCTTATACTTTTAATAAAAGAAAGACAAATTCAACCATAAATTAAGCAGTAATTTTCTTGACTAAAGCGTATGCTATGCTGAATGAGGACAGTGGCTTAAAGTTTTAAGGAATGTTTACTGGCCGGAGTAAAGGGTTGAAAGGGAGACCAGATTCTTAGGAGTTCTACTCCCACTTTCACCAGCACACCCCTGCTATTAGTTATTTATGTACTGGAGTATCTCTAAAGATTTACTTACACAAAAGATTTTGATGGCTCAAAAAAGTACTGAAAACCTCTGGACTCTGGGATAAGCAACATGGAATTGTGAAGCAGACACTAGCTTGGGAATTAGGAGACCTTGAATCAGTCCTAACTCCTTCACCAGTGAGTCGTATGGCCCTCCATTTCTCTGAGCTTTGATTTTCTTGATGGTAAAGGGTGGGGATTAAATCAAATATTCTTTAATATTCTCTGTATGATCCTAAGCTTTATATGGGACTAATTTTGTTTTTGTGGCTCTAATGAAATCTAGAAAAGGGAATTTACAGCTGAACTAATAATAGTAGCATGAATACTATTAATGCTTCAAAATAAGTTTTTTTATTCAGTAATCTTTTTTCTCAGAATGTCTTCTTTCTATCCCTACTTACAGGACCTAGCTTTTCCCCTCTTATTCTTGACACTTGAATGGCATTGTTCTTTGTGCTTTGATTTTGGTTTTCATATTGATTTTTCCACTGCTTCCCTCTCCTTGTTTTATTGTGAATGTGTGTTTTTCTTTTGGAATCCCAGCTACCTTGAAAGCAGTTGCCTGACTAATAATGCTGTCTTGCCACTCTTAATGTTTTGCTTTGCATATGGCTGTTAATGCCTTTTGGGTTTTGTGTTTTTTTTTCTTCTTTTAACATTTTCATTTTTTTATTTTCTGTGATTGGTGTTTCTTTGTTCAATTCAGGTTAGAATTGCCCCTACTGTCACTACCTGGAGTAACAAAACTCCTACCGCCCTTCCCAGACATCCACCTGCTGCCTCTCTCTCTGACACACAGGTATATCCTTCATTATTCCTCTTAGAGCAGAATTCTGCTCACCTAAATATATATAGTTATATATTCTACTCACCTAAATATATATAGTTATATATTCTCTACCCCCCTTTCTCAAGTTTCTCTCTTCCTTCACCTGCTTATTGCATTTGAATGCTTTTATGATGCAAGAAGCAGTTTTAGAATAATTAATTTATTTTCTTATTCCTCTCTCCTCCTTTGCAATTCTAAATTGCCTTGAGTGAGAAAAACATCAATCAACTTTCTAACAAAGGTTTAAATCTAATTTCACTGAAGATTTTCATTTTCCTTTTCTCTTTCTTTCTACCTTTTTTTTGAGCATTGCAGAAATTGAAGAGAAGCAGCCTTCCCTTGTGGCATTTATACTTACATTTTCAAAGTATGGAATAGTGTGGATGGAATATGTAGAGATGGAAAATCCTGGAAACTCATAAATATCAGTGACACTTTTATGAGGCTATTAGTATCTGTAATCATTCATTGCAATTATTATTTTGAACCTGTCTGATCTTTAAACTACTCAGAATGTGTTGCTCAGAAAATGTGCTCTGAAGAAGGTAGAATGTGCAAAATGAATTTTTCTTACACAATAAAGAATTTTTTAATAGAATTCCATTTCGGAGATTATAAATCCATCGGGTAAGATTCTTGGTTCCAAATGTAATCCTTATTTTACCATATTCTCATTTCTTAGGGAGAAAATCCTCCACCTCCAGGTTTCATAATGCATGGAAATGTTAACCCAAATGTTGCCTCAGCTCAGCTTTCCACATCTCCGGGCCATATGCACACCCAGGTACCACCTTATCCACAGCCACAGCGTAAGTACTGACCCTGAGTCCTTTCACAGTAGCATGTCTTATCTAATATAGTAACTGTTTACTTTGAGGCTCCAAAGCCATGATCAACTCAATTTTAACAAAGAAAAAAAGAACCAATGTAAGTAGGGCCCAAGTCCTAGCTGTAGAGAAACATGGTTTTCCCTAGGAAGCATCCTGAATCAACATGCTAGCAAACAGCTCCTGTCAGTCTTTTCAGAATACTTGGCTCCTGTTCCTGAGCCTTTATTAACACCTGCTAAAGAGAGTCAATTATCCCATGATCTGGTACTCTGGTACAGAAAAAAATAGACTTTTAGAAATTATTTGGTATATATTCTTTTCCTTCAGGGAAGATGACACAAACCATTGTTGGAAAAATGGTTCCCAGGATATTTGTTGTAGTTTTTCACTTTATTTTTTTAAGAAATAGGCCTTATTTTTTTTTAGAGCAATTTTAAGTTTATAGCAAAATTGAATGGAAAGTACAGAAGGTTCCAATATACCACCTGCCCACCACCACTGAAACTTCCCACACTGTTGACATCCTACACCATAGCAGTACATCTATTACAGTCATTGAGCCTATACTGACACATCTTTATCATCCAAAGTATTTTAGGTTAAAAAACCCTTACCTGAGTATATGATTAGAGAGAGGAAGGGAGAAAAGAAACATCAGCGTGAGAGAGAAACATCGATTGGTTGCCTCTTGTACACACCCCGACTAAGGCTCATACCCACAACCTAGATATGTGATCTGACTGGGAATCAAACCCTCAGCCTTTGGTATACGGGATGATTCTTCAACCAACCAAGCTACCTGGCCATGGCCCTTCTGTGAATTTTGACAAATGTATAATAGTGACGCATATTCACCATTGGCTAACCAACCCCCTAGGAAAATATTTGTTTTTGGAAAATAATATATCACCACTATTTTAAAATTTAAATAAGCAGAAAATAGAAGTCTGAAAGGGGAAAATTATTCTATATAATAAAAGGCTAATATGCAAATTGTCCCCTGGACTGGGAGTGTGATAAGGGGATGGGGCTGGCCAGCCAACCCCTGCAGCCACTCCCCCCAGCCAGCCCCACCCCTAATTGCCTCTCCCACCCTGCCCCTATTGGGGGCAGCCTGCCAGCCGCCCATGGCCCCTCCCCACAGCCAGTCTCGACCTCAATCAGCCCGCCCACCCTGATTGGGGGTGGGGCAGCCCACCAATTGCCCTCGGCCCCTCCCCTTGCCTGCCCAATTGGCTGGATTCCATCTGTGCATGAATTTATGGGCTGGGCCTCTATTGACTAAATAACTATTGCAAAAACAAGAGGGCATTACCTCCGAGCTACTCTTTTTTATTTTATTTTTTAATATATATTTTATTGATTTTTTACAGAGAGAAAGAGAGAGGGATAGAGAGTTAGAAACATCGATGAGAGAGAATCATCGATCAGCTGCCTCTTGCACACCCCCTACTGGAGATGTGCCTGCAACCAAGGTGCATACCCTTGACCGGAATCGAACCTGGGACCTTTCAGTCCGCAGGCCTATCCACTGAGCCCAACCGGCTTCGGCCTACGAGCTACTCTTAATGAGCACATTCTGTGCTAATGTGAATGTTGTTAACATGGATACAACTTTTTACTCAGTGTGAAAGTGCTATCTTCAGAACCAGGTATGGTTCTACTGGATTCACTCTATACAGGTTCATATCTACCCTGGTCACACAGAATGTGATGAAATTAAGATCTCTTATTTGAGTTCAGTTCACTGCATAAAAATATCAGTTGGCTGCCTGATTACTTACTAGCAAACTATGTACAGTATATGGAATATTATATAGTAACTAGAGGCCTAGTGCATGAAATTCGTGCACTTGCAGTCCTGGAGCCCTTGGGAGATGTCCAACTGAGGGCATCTCCGTGAGGAGTGGACCTAAGCTGTCAGTCAGACATCCTTAGCACTGCTGCAGAAGTGGGAGAGGCTCCTGCCACTGCTGGTGTACTCGCCAGCCATGAGCCCAGCTTCTGGCTGAGCGGCACTCCTCCTGTGGGAGTGCACTGACCACCAGGAGTCAGCTACTGCATTGAACGTCTGCCCCCTGGTGGTCAGTATGCATTATTGCGACCTGTCATTCTGCTGTTCAGTTGATTTGCATATTAGCCCTTTATTGTATAGGATGATAAGTAATTTCTCTTTGGATGTATAATTCCTCCATGGTTCCATCTGGTGGCTAGTAGGTGTCACTTGCAATCTTTTCACCGGAACAGGAAGTCTCAGCAAAGGGTTTAATCTTTTTTAAAATTTATTTTGCGTTTTAAATTTACTTTTAAGTTACAGTTGATATATAATATTATATTAGTTCCAGCTTAGTGACTAGACATTTATATATTTTATGAAATGATCCCCCTAGAAAGTCTAGTATAGAAAAGGATCTGTCTTGCAGTTCTTGGTTCTGATGTTTCAAAGATTTTCATAATCCACACCAACCTGAAGGTAGCAGGTTTCAGATATGGGATCCAATGACTTTGTATATTTAGGCCATCTAAGTTACCAAACCTAATATAAGTGTTCATGTTTGGCTGTAACTTGTTAAAAGAAGAATGATAAAAACAGTTTTCATAGAATGAGAAAATTTTGGTTTTCTGTTGCTCTTAAGAAACTTGTGATTAATGAAATTTTTATTTCTTCTCCTTGGTATAGCTTATCAACCAGTCCAGCAGTATTCCTTCGGAACAGGGGGGTCAGCAACGTATCGACCTCAGCAGCCTGCTGCTTCTTCTGCTTCAAACGCTTACCCTAACACCCCTTACATACCTTCTGCTCCTTCCTATTCTGGGCAGTCTCAGCTGTATGCAGCACAGCACCAGGCCTCTCCACCTACCTCCAGTCCTACTGCTTCTTTTCCCCCTCCCCCTTCCTCTGGAGCATCCTTCCAGCATGGCGGACCAGGAGCTCCACCATCTGCAGCCTATGCACTACCTCCTGGAACAACAGGTACACTGCCTGCTGCCAGTGAGCTGCCTGCGTCCCAAAGAACAGGTCTGAGCTTGAAAGGGATTCGGTTTGGCTCCCTCCTTTATTTTTTCATGCACACATGGGTGGATGGAGGGGAATTATTTCTTCTAACTGTTTGTATACTGGACAATGTGAAATGTTAATTAAGCTTTTCTAAAACTATTCAAAAAGTGATCTTCTCCCATAATGAAGAGTTATTGGATGAGGAAAGCTTTAGAGCTTCAAAAGGATAAGAGTATATAATTTACATTGAATTCAAAGTCAGTGTAAGAAATTTTTTGTCAAGATAAGTGGTGATTGGAATAATATTTAATAGATACTATTTTTTTTTTTTTACTAGAGCAAAACTATGCTCTATGTTCTTCTGAGAATTTTTCAATTTTTAAAATTATTTGTGCCTTAAATTCACTCATGGAGATTAAACAGTACAGAGTCTTAGTGAGGTTGTATAAATTTTATTTTATTGTTTATTTTTAATATATTTTATTGATTTTTTTACAGAGAAGAAGAGAGAGGGATAGAGAGTCAAAAACATCGATGAGAGAGAAACATTAATCAGCTGCCTCTTGCACACCCCCTACTGGGGATCAAACCTGCAACCCCGGGCATGTGCCCTGACTGGGAATTGATCAACTTCTTGTTACATGGGTCGATGATCAACCGCTGAGTAATACCAGTGGGGCAATAAGTATTATTTAAATAGACGAGGAAATCTGAGTTTTCTAGAAGTTGTAATATGGTCTCATAGTTATACTGTAATCATCTCCAAGTTGAGATACAAATTGAGGTCTCTTAGTCTTCAAAGCCACATTCATTATTTTTTACTGTATTATCTAGTCCTAATGTGATAGAAATAGCTATGAGGATTGGAATTAGAAAAACCATGTAGCAACATGTTTCAGGCTTTTATTCATTAAGTTAAATATTTGCATGGTTATCTTTTTCTCCTTAAGCAAAAGTGCATTTGGCTACGAGAGAGTCTTTGCTTATGTACAAAGTAACAGAATGTTCTAACCTGGCTGAAAAGCAGAGTGACTTTTAAGAGGAAGAAGCCAAACAAACTTTTTCAGTATCCAGCATGCACCAAGTTAGCTGCTTTGTTACCTCTTGCATGTTAATAGTTCCTTCTATTTTAATTAACAGTTATAGCTTTATCATATTTTATTTTTTTATTTCCTAAAATTTTTGCTTAGATTATATAAGTGATTGTGACTGAAAATTTTATCTTTGTTATAATGTGTCTTAAATCATATTATGGTTTCCTGTAGGACTTAGGAATTCTGCTTTTCCATTGGATGATTTTTTTAAAATATATTATATTAATTTTTTGCAGAGAGGAAGGGAGAGGAATAGAGAGCTAGAAACATTGATGAGAGGGAAACATTGACCAGCTGCCTCCTGCACACCCCCTACTGGGGATGTGCCTGCAACCAACGTACATGCCCCTGACTGGAATTGAACCTGGGACCCTTCAGTCCGCAGACTGACGCTCTTTCTACTGAGCCAAACTGGTTTCAGCTCCATTGGATGATTTTTGACAGATACTAGGATTTTCAAACCCTTTGACTATTAGTGAATCACGAAGTAATGTGCCTACACTCACAGAAACTAATGTTATAGTCATCACAAAATTCATTCAGTAAATTATTTTTAAAAATACATTTTTATTGAATTTTTAGGGAGAGAGAAAGGAAGGGACAGAGAGAAACATTGATGATGAGAGAGAAACTTTATTCATGAGTTGCCTTCTGCACTGCCCCTACTGGGGATCAAGCCAGCAACCTGGGCATGTAACCTGACTGGGAATGGAACCATCAATCTTTGGTGCATGGGATGATGCCCAACCAACTGAGCAACACCAGCCAGGGCTTATTCAGTAAATTCTTTTTTTAATTTAATATATTTTATTGATTTTTTTACCAGAGGATAGGAGAGGGAAAGAGAGTTAGAAACATTGATGAGAGAGAAACATTGATCAGCTGCCTTCTGCACACTCCCTACTGGGGATGTGCCTGCAACCAAGGTACATGCACTTTACCGGAATCGAACCTGGGACCTTTCGGTCCCATGCTCTGTCCACTGAGCCAAACATGTTAGAGCATTATTTAGTAAATTCTTAATGAGTGTCTATTCAGTCTGTAATCATAGTTATTCCAAATGGAGGTTAGGAAGCAGAAAAAAGACAGTGCATTTCTAGTGTACAGCACCTAGCTTTGTTATAAGTTGGAACATAAAGCCGAAACCAGTTTGGCTCAGTGGTAGAGCGTCGGTCTGCGGACTGAAAGGTCCCAGGTTCGATTCTGGTCAGGGGCATGTATGTTGGTTGCGGGCACATCCCTGGTAGGGGTGTGCAGGAGGCGGCTGGTCGATGTTTCTCTCTCATCGACATTTCTAGCTCTCTCTCTCTCTCCCTTCCTCTCTGTAAAAAATCAATGAAATATATATTTTTAAAAAAATAAGTTGGAACATAAAATTTGTACATGGGCCAAATTTTGCAAAGCCTTAAATGCCTAGGCAAGACTTTTACACTCATACTAGAGGCCGAGTGCACGGATTTGTGCACTGATGGGCTCTCTCAGCCTGGCCTCTGCCCTCTCTCAATCCGGGATGCCTAACCAACTTCGGTGGATGTCGGACTGCCAGTTTCGGCCTCATCCCTACAGGCCAGGCTGAGGGACCCACTGGTGCATGATTCCGTGCATTGAACATCTGCCCCCTGGTAGTCAGTGCGTGTCATAGCTACCAGTTGACTGGTTGCTTAGGCTGATATATATATATATATTATTGATTTTTTTACAGGGAGGAAGAGAGAGGGATAGAGAGTTAGAAACATCAATCAGCTATCTCCTAAACAACCCCTACTGGGGATGTGCCCGCAACCAAGATACATGCCCTTGACCGGAATCGAACCTGGGACCTTTTGGTCTGCAGGCTGACGCTCTATCCACTGAGCCAAACCGGTTTCAGCTTAGGCTTTTATATATATAGCTGATAAGAAGAAAAGTTCCAGTGAAGGTGTTTGAACTGCTCATAGACATAGTCAAAATGGTACTTGAGGGGGGCTAATCTGGAGGTGGTCCTACAAAATAGATTGTGGGCAGCATGGCAGAATCAGAGGCAAGGAAAACAGTCCAAGGAAAAGTCATGTCATGTTTAAAGAGTATGAAAGAGATTTATCCCCATTCTGTGATTTTTTTGAAAGAATAAAGATTATCTCTTTACAGTTTTATAAAAGAATCATGTTCCAGCCCTAACCAGTTTGGCTCAGTGGATAGAGCATCAACCTGTGGACTAAGGGTCCTGGGTTCAATTCTGGTCAAGGGCATGTACCTTGGTTGCAGCCACATTCCCAGTAGGGGGTGTGCAAGAGGCAGCTGATTGATTTTTTCTCTCATCGATGTTTCTAACTCTATCCCTTTCCCTTTCTCTCTGTAAAAAAAATCAATAATATATATATATATATATGTACACACACAAATGTTAAATTTAAAAAAAAAGAATCATGTTTTAGATTAGACAATACTGTGTTGATTTTTTTAAATATTGACTAAAAGTATCATTGTACACATTCATAATGAATCTCCATAATAATGTCTTCTATGGCTATTCATGTTCTTCATGTAGCTTGCTTTATCTATTAAAGTATATCTCTATAACATAGAAGTCTATTTAATTATGTTTTTAAAAAATCATATTTAAATAGTTTGAAGACATAAAAGCAAAAATATTGAAAGAGATTAAAATTATAGCTGAGACAAAACTGTGTTAAATTGATAAGAAATTTGAATAAGGATTATCCATGCTGGAATAAAACATGCCTAATATATTTCATGGTTTGAGGTTAGAAGGATTCAGTTAGGCATATGTTTGGGGTGAGGGGGGAATTAGTAGATACATTAATTATAATATATTAGGGAGAACTCTTTGAGCTTCATTGGTCAAATCATAGAAAAATAATTAATGCAAACAGGGGAAATTTATTTTAAATAAGGAATAAAATTTTCTCTTTAAAGAGACAGTATAGTAAGAGAAAAAAGTGCTATTTAGGAGTTGATTAGATATGACATAAATGATTTGCTTTATCTAAAAACTGACATTTCACATGGCTGAATTAAAAAGTTTTATTCCCTTATAAAGTTAGTTTGTTCTTTCTGGGAGCTGAGGGAGAGAAAAGAAACAATTATAAAATGAAAAATAGAGTTTAGAATGTCTTTGATAATACTGTTTAAGTGACTTTTACATTTTATCTACAGAAAATCAGTCTATGCAAGACCAGGCAAATATGTTGGAAGGTGACTTGGTTATAAAATATACTTTGGAAATCTCTGAATCATTAAATTGGAATTATTAGACATCCACAATAATGCATGTGATCTTCAAAGCTGATGATATCCTAAATCTGATCAGTATCATTTAAAAAATTTGGCTTCTTAATCAGGTCTTGGAACTGATTGAATTAACATAATGACACAAATTGCTTTACATCATAAAAGTCATCTTTTGATATAGACATGAAGACAACAACAATACCAAGATTGTTTTAGATATGATTAAGATTAGATGGTGATGGGAGAGATTTGAATGATTAATCTATGTATGACCAAAACTTTAAGAATTTGTTAAGCAGATAGTAACATGTGGTATAATAGTTTGTGATTAGTTCGAGAGTTTTGAAGCTCATTTTGCATTCTGTCTCTTGTGAACTTATAGAAAATTTATTCTATTTTTAAAATCAAGGCAGATGAATACATGCTGGGTAGAAGATCTTTTAAAAAAAAAAAAAAAAAGCCTCTGTGGCATTGTTTATTAATCACAGATTATTTGGTTTGCTAAGCAATTTTGTGGTTTAATGTCAAAGATATCAATAAAACAAGTTAGAATTCTGAAAGAATAATTTATTAAAAGAGTAATTTTTGTCTTTACATATACATATATACAAAACTGGATGAACTGTAACATGAATATATTGTGATTTGGAAATTACTCTGTTTTATTTCTAGTTTGTTTTATTCCTCTTTTCTTTAAAGATACTAGCATTTAGGATAGTTAATGAATTCTGCTACTTATATCCATTTCTCATTTTAAGATGACAGATGTGTTGGTTTTATTTTTGTTTTGTTTTTTCTACTTTTTCTGTCACTAGTTTTTTTGACTGGTGTGTTTTTAAAAATATAAATTTTTATTGACTTCAGAGAGGAAGTGAGAGAGAGAGAGATAGACACATCAGTGCTGAGAAAGAATCATAGATTGGCTGCCTCCTTCACAACCCCCACTGAGGATTGAGCCCATAACCTGGCATGTGCCTTGACCGGGAATTGAATTGTGAACTCCTGGTTCATAGGTCGACACTCAACCACGAGTCATACCAGCCTGGCAACAGGTGTTTTTTTGTTTGTTTATTTTTTAAAGAGGAAATTTATTAAAGTTGACAGTAGTTTAATTTTATATTGGCTTCCAGCCTGGAATTTAAGTGGTAGCATTAAAAGAATTATTATCTCAGATATTTGAATGTCCTTTTCTACTTAGTAAGTAATCCTAAGGCAAAGATAAAAAGTACTGCTGTTGCATAGTTGGGCTCTCTTTAAAAAAAAAAAAAAGTATTTCTACCATGTGGATCATCTGCTAATATTGAATTGCTCTTTTGGGAAATAAGAGATTAGTACTTTTATTCTTTTTTTGTATATTGAATATCAAGATATTAAAGCAGACTGTAGTCATTTATTTTTTCTTTATTGAGAATAGTTAACAGATCTTGGTTATACACCAATATAGATGTAAATACTTCACTGTTTAGCATAGCTCTTTCATTTTAGTGGCAGGATATCTTGTCTATTAAGCCAGTGCCTTGTGATTTTTAGAGGTAATGAGTTTGAGAATCCAGGGTTACACAGTGATCCTCAGCTGATAAAACTTTTGTGACAGTTATTTTAGGATTAGGCAGAATTTGAATGTATTTTATAATGGATACAATCTAGTTTTCTTCTTTTCAGGTTTCTAAAGGAAAATGTCTTCTATTATCTGTTATAGGTCCTCAGAATGGTTGGAATGATCCTCCAGCTTTGAACAGAGTACCCAAGAAGAAGAAGGTACTAGAAAAAGTTATCTGTCCAGTTGCCTACAGATGGTCTGTTAATCATATAGCCACACGGAGCACACCAAACTTCACTGATCCTTTTAAAGGCAAAGCTTACTGATTGATATATTTAAAGTGTATTTCAGCTTACACATTTGAATTGATAAGGAAAGGGAAGACAGCAGGAAACAGTATTGTGCTATGAATAAACCTCTTTGAGGAGGCACAATATAAATTACCAACAGATCTCTTTCAAAGAGTAAGAAACAAAATTTCAGGCTTCTCAAATTTTTTTAGGAGATACTTTGGTTTTAAGGCTTCAAAAGTAATCATGAATTTGGTAAATATTTTGTCTGTCACATGCAATATGAATAAAGAAATATCCTTATAGCTGAGCATTGTTTAGATATCAGACTCTATTGAGCTTTTAGAGCACAAGATATTTTTCTTCTTTCTCCCCAAGCCATTTTCTTCTTTTTCCTCCTAGTAATCTCTTTCCCCCAATCCTATCTAATAAAGAGGTTAATATGCAAATTGACCATCACTTCAACATACAAGATGTGGTCAAAGGTGGCTGCCCCCATGTGGACACAAGATGGCCAGCAGGGGGGCGGGGCAGTTGGGTGCGACCAGGCCTGCAGGGAGGGCAGTGGGGGTGACTAAGCCAGCAGGGTAGGGCAATTAGGGGCAATCAGACTGGCAGGGGAGCAGTTAGGCATTTATCAGGCTGGCAGGGGACTGGTTAAGGGGCAATCAGGCAGGCAGGCAGCTGAGTGGTTGGGAGCCAGCAGTCCTGGATTGTGAGAGGGATCCCATATTGAAGAGGGTGCAGGCTGGGCTAACGAGCATCCCCTTCACCTCCTTCACAAATTTTGTGCACTGGGCCTCTAGTACAGTAATAAGAGGCCATAACATAAAATTGGGAGGCAATAAATCAGCAAGAAAACCCAAAATTTAGTTATAATCAGAAACTTAATCTACTCTTTGTGTGATTATGACAGGCAATATTCACTTAATGATGTAGGAGAAGGGTATTACATTGCAATATTTATTTATTCCCATCCAAGGATAATTTTCCACTTATTTTTAGAGAGAGTGGAAGGGAGGGAGAGACACACACAGAGAAAGAAACATCAGTATGAGAGAGACACATCAATTGGTTGCCTCTCACACGTGCCGTGATCAGGGACAGGAATCAAACCTGCAACTGAGGTATGTGCCCTTGACTGGAGCTGAACCAGGGACCCTTTAGTCCTCAGGTTGATGCTCTATCTACTGAGTCAAACTGATTAGGGCTACATTGCAGTCATGTTAAACACAAACATATTTGGCATATCTGAATCTAGTAATATTAGATAAAATTCTCCAGACTTTGACATTCTCTTTAAAAAACACCATGGTTTTGGTTCTTCACTATGGGAGTAAATATGTGATCAAATGGGGAAACTGAGAGGTCTAGGTTTGAGCTCTTCAACCCTCTTAGCTAGATTATCTCTACTTTTGTTTTACTCTAAACTTCTGCATAAAATTTTGTTTGAAAATATTCTATTTAAATGTTTTTAAATCATGGAATAGTTTAACTGCCTTATTTAAATTTGAGGAAATGTTGCTATCATTTTTTTTAATTCTTGTCTTCTATTATGATCTTTTAAAAGATGCCAGAAAACTTTATGCCTCCTGTTCCCATCACATCACCAATCATGAACCCCATGGGTGACCCCCAGTCACAGATGCTGCAACAACCTTCAGCTCCAGGTCCACTGTCAAACCAAGCTTCATTCTCCCAGCCACATCTTCCAGGTGGCCAGCCCTCTTTTCAGGGCTTACAGCAACCCCTTGGTCAACCAGGCATGCCACCATCTTTCTCAAAGCCCAATATTGAAGGTGCCCCAGGAGGTCCTATTGGAAATACCATCCAGGTAACAGTAAAAATTTCTGGAAGTGAAACAGGAGAGGGTTCTATTTCAGTAAACTTTTTTTTAATGTGTTAACTTTTATGGCTATACCTTTATTAATGAGCATGCACATTTGGTTTCAATTTAGACAAACTGAATAAAAAATAGTAATACTTTTTAAAAGATTAGTAATGTATGTATATTATTTTTCAATTACATGGCCATATACAAACTTTCTAGAAGAGGCTTGTATATTTGCTAGTGTGTTTCCAGTAATTTAGTAATTTCAGTATACCTAATTAGTAGGCACAATTTCAGTTTAATCCATATTTGCCTTCAAAATGGTTAAGCAGAATCTGTTTTCAAAGGTGTATCCCTTTAAATTGTAAAATAAAAATGTAATGAGTTATATCTTTTCTTATGTATGTATAAGAACTAATTATATAGAGTCTATTTTGAATGGAGATCTAAATTTAAAACTGCTGGTTGGCAGGATTTTATTTTATTTATTTTTATTTTTAGTAATCCTCACTTCAGGATATTATTCCATTTATTTATTTATTTATTTATTTATTTATTTATTTATTCTTTGCCCTTTTTTTTCCCCCATTGATTTTTAGAGAGAGTGGAAGGGAGAGGAAGAAAGAGAGAAATATTGATGTGAAAGAGCTTCATCGATAGGTTGCCTCCCACATGCACCCTGACCAGGTCCAGGGAACCTGCACCTTGACAGAAATCGAACCTGGGACCCTTAAGTCCACAGGTTGACACTTTATCCATTGGGTAAAACCAACTAGGATGATAAGAGTTTTAGATGTTGAAAATCTATTACATTTACATATAACTGATTTAGACATACAAAGATAAACTTTTTGATCTGTTCATGAAAAGTAAAGAGCCTGGGCCAAAGTTTAACATAAGATGAACAAATTCCTGCCCAAGTATAAAACTAGTGCTTCTGTTTTTGTCTTTGACTCATTGAAGTCAAATTTATAACGATTGTATCTCTATCGTACAAATATGCTTTTTTATTAAGAGAGTTCTGCCTAAGAAACTTCTAAATATTAAAAGTTGCATTATAAAAACCAGTATTTTGATGGAGGTAAGAGGACTTGCTTTTTTCCACAAGAACATAAGTTATAAATATGTGTTAATTTTTTTTTTTTTTTATGATTACAAGTCTATGTTAGTTTGGGAAACTACTCAGCCACTCACTTTTGTTTAGATGTGAGTGCTCATGCTCTACTCATCTAGACTAGAACCTTAGTTACCATTGAAAGGGAGAGCTGTTAATATTCTTTTTCTTCTAACCTCTTTTTCAAATCTATCCCCAAATCTCTCTCAACTACCTTCTTCTCAACATTTCCAGTTTGATCCACGCTACCTTTACCTCCAGTCTTAAACAATGCAGGAACCTCAAATTGGTCTGCCAGCCTTTACTTTACCCAACTCTAATCTGGTCTTATTTCCTGTTTGCTTAAAACATTACAGCTTCCCATTGTTCTCAGGATAAAACCCAAAATATTTCACTTGTCTGTAAGGACTCAGTTCATACGCACGCCTCCTGCTTCTCTGCTCTAGCAACACTGGTCTCCTTGTAGTCCCCTTGTGTCGTGATCCTGCCTTTGTACATGTTCTTCCTCAGTCTGGAAACACTCGTTTCCCCACCCTCACCCATATAACTGCTTTCCTCCTGCTTATCCTTCTAATCCCTGAAGAGGGCCTTCCCTTAATTAAATTTCAGTTATATTGTCTGTTGGCTTACCGCAGTTGCTATTTTACATGTACTTATGACATTTTTAAACTTTCTTTCTCTTTCATTAGCCTGTAAACTCCCGAGGGCTGAGATCATTTCTGTATTGGCTCATTAATACATAACTAGTGCCTGGGCCATAATTGCCTACTATTTTTTGAATGAATGAACTAATATATCAAAAATTTTAAAACTTATACATTCCTTCTTTGTTTTTCCATTTTTATACACAGTAACATCACGGTCTTTTCTATCCTAACCTTTGGCTTAATCTTAACCTCTAAAAGTAAACCGAAGAATAGAAAAATGCCAGGATAAACAAAAATGAATAAATAGTTGCTCTAATTGGCCAGCTTTTTAAATGCCTTGTTCTTTTTATTTCTTACTGGCACAGCTCCACTTCTCATTGGTTAATATACAATAGTGATCAATATGTGTTCTAAAATTAATTACATACTTTATATCCAATCCTGTTTTTAAGAATCAAAGCTGTAGGAGGAGTAACTGTGTCTTCTGTATATCTGATTTTTATTTTTACTCATCTCAGTGATTTTATATATTAAATTTCATTTAGTTTTGAATAGCCTGTCTATAAGATAGTTGGTTTCTCTGTATCGCAGAGCTTCAGGACTTTGTGTATACAGGTAATTTCTGGTCATTTCTACTCATTTTGTGATATATTTCTTTCAGCATGTGCAGGCTTTACCCACAGAAAAAATTACCAAGAAACCTATTCCAGATGAGCACCTCATTCTAAAGACCACATTTGAGGACCTTATTCAGCGCTGCCTCTCTTCAGCCACAGATCCTGTATGTATTTTTTCTCATATTTTGCCTAATTAAAATAAGCCTTTATTACATTTTTCTATAATTAGTGCTTAACATCTTACAAGATATATTTTAAAAGTTTCTACAAAAAAAATAATAAAACTAGTAGCACTTATCATAGCTTGATATATATGTGTGTGTGTGTGTGTGTGTGTGTGTGTGTGTGTGTGTATACACACACATATATATAAAAGTATTTAAATACTTTTTATATATATTTATTTAATCCCCCATGGTGGGTAGAGTTATCAACTTCATTCTATAGGTGAGGAGATTAAGGCAAAAAAGCAGTAAGTAACAACCAAGGTCCGAGCCAGCATTCAAACCAAAGCTGGCTGCAGAAGTTATGCTCTCAACCACTGTGTGTACTGCTTCTCATCAGCAAACCTCACGCTTGGCACATCAATAGAACAGAGTAGTGATATGCAGGAAATTCAGACTTGGATCTCTTTCCCAGTTTACATCGCAGATTTTAAAAGTAGGTAATCATATAACTGCAAAGATCTTAAAAAATAGTTAAATGTTGTAGATATTGGATTCATATTCATAGTTAAAGCCAACTCATTTTATTTCGTTTACTTAAAGGATGCAACAACAAAAACTCCACAATGCCAGTTTTGTTTTAGATGAAATTTCATTTTCTGCCAACAAACATTGAATAGACTTACTTAGCTACTGGCCACTTGTCTGCTTGAAAAACAGCTTCTGGAATTTGTTGTTTCATCAATATTGAGTATTAATGTGTGCAGCCTTCTGCTGGTCTTTTGGAAAGCTATTCCCTGAATTCAAAGTGTTAGGAAAGCAGAGGCAGGGAAGGTTTAATGTAAATCTAGTGTCTGACTTTTTTTTAAGTTCTTACCTGAGGATATACTTTTCAGTAATTCTAGAGAGGAGGGGAAAGGAAGAGAGAGAGAGAGAGACAAAAACCACATTGATGTGTTGCCTCCCATTCTTTCCCTAATGGGATCAAACCTTGCAACCTACTTATGTGCCTTGACTGAGAATTGAACCAGTGACCCTTCAGTGCACTGGATGACCTCTAACCAACTGACTAAGCTAGTACAGAGAGGCAGGTGAGGCTGATAGCCAGGTAAACACTATCCGCTATGCACACCTCTAAATAACAGGCCACAGTCATTCAAAAACAGAAGCTTCCCTATAAAATATGTGGGAAAACTCCAGTCCTCCTTCAGGCATGAATTAGTATAGAGAGGTTGAGAGGACACAGAGTTCATGGCCCAGCTCGGTAACTTCTAGTTCACCATGCCATCTTCCTTCTGGGTCCACAGAAGCCTTAGGCAGAAGAGAACCAAAAACGACAAACTATTCCAGTAATTTTTGTAACTAGTTGGGGAGAAGTTCTACTATCCTCACTTGCCCAGCTACCCATGCCTCTTCCCCCTTGGGCTATGTGGGATTAACTTTGAATAGGGACTAGAAAGGTTCCCCTCCACACAAGTCCATTTCAATCAATAGTTGGAACCATTTTTTAAAATTGGATTTTAGAGAGGATAGAAGGGGGAGAGAGAAAGAGAAGGAAATATGGATGTGAGACACATCGATCAGTTACCTCTTCAACATGCCCCAACTGGAGATCGATCTTGCAATCAAGGTATTTGCCCTGACTCGGAATTGAAACCGTGACCTTCTGATGCATGGGACAGTGCTCCAACCAGCTGAGCCACACTGGCCAAGGGTAGTTGGGACCATTTTTATAGTATGGCTTTATTCCTATTTTCACTTTAATTATGTCCAAACAACACAAAAGAATTTTGCAGCACAACTTAGTTTGTGATGTTATTCTCAGTGGTTTCATCTCTTCCTGTCTCCTCTTCTGACATGCTGACATTCCTTCCTCACATATAACGAGAGCATCTCAACATCAGGGACTGCTTGTTCCTCCTTCTGCCAGGACCTCTTCCCCCACAAAACTGCATGGCTCACTCCTCACTTGTTCCAGGCTCTGCTCCAATGTCCCATTAGCCATCAGCCTTTCTTTACCACCCCACTCCAACACCTCCAGCCCCCTCACCCTGTTAACTTTTCTTTACGGCACTCATCACCATCTGGCATAAAACATATTGTTTATTTAGTATATTTTCCTACCCAAAAGAATATGAGCTCCCTGAGACATAAGTCTGTGTCCCAGCATGGCACATAGTAGGCACTCAGTAAATTTTGAAGAACAGTGTCAGGTCTACCAGGTGTACTGGTTAATAATGCAGATTTTGTAATCAGAGAAAACAAGATAATTTCAAGAGAAACATCAAAAGTGCCTTATTCAAAGTAATGTTCATCGCTAGCTACATATTTCCCCCAACTTTAGGTAATTTGTGGATACCGTCCCAATAGAACTTTTCTTTTTTTGAGGCAAACCATTCAGAGACCTAATTTTCCACTTCATACATTTTGAAATGCTGCTCAGAAAGTGCATGTGCCATCAATTGGAACAAGTGGTAACATGAAGGAGCAAGGTCTGATGAATACGGCGGGTGGGTTAATACTTCCAAGAAAGATCTTTTAACATGTCTTTAACTGGTTTTGAAGTGTGTGATGGTGAGTTATCATGAAGCAAAATTACTTTGCCGTGTCTTCTGGCCCATTCTTATCATTTGTTTCACGATCAAAATGTGGTTCAACTTGATTATTTGTTGTCGGTAGCAATCAGTATTAACGGTTTCACCTGGTTTTAGAAGCTCAGCATACACCACACCTTCCTGATCCCACCAAATGCAGACATTGTCTTCTTTCCAAAGCTATTTGGCCTTGCAGTTGATGTTAATAGTTGACTTGGATCAACCCATGATTTTGTGCATTTAGGATTCTCAAAATAAATCCACTTTTCATTGCCAGTCACATTTCGATACAAAAAAGATTTTTTTGTGCCGTTGAAGCAACATTTTACTGATGATTTTTTGGTTTTCCATTTGTCTTTTGTTCAGTTGATGTGGCACCCATTTTCCTTCCTTTAAAATCTTTCCTATTGCTTGTAAGAGATCAGAAATTGTTTGCTGAGCAACGTTTAATCTTTCTCCAAGTTGTTTTTGAGTTTGACATGCATCTTCATCCAATAATGCTTATAATTGTTGGTCTTTCAACTTTTTTGGTTGACCTGGACATTCTTTGTCTTTCACATTAAAATCATCACTTTTAAAGCATTTCAACCAGCGTTCACAGGTATCTTGAGATGGAGCATGTTCACCATAAGCTTCCTGAAGTATACAGTAACTTTCAGTAATATTTTTCTTCAAAATAAAGTAATGAATTAAAACTTCCCACAAATGCTCTTTTTTGGGCGTGAAATTTGACACTTTTAAGCATAAAAATATTGTTAACACCTTCAGCAAATTTGACATACGATGTTTTGAAGCTAGCTGTCCATACAACAAAATAGCATTCATATCAAATTGCATATATATCAACATATTATATGTGTAACTCGATCTATTGAAAAAAATTCCGCGTTATTAACTGGTACACCTGGTAAAGTTGTTGCATAATATAGATCATTAAATTAATTTAATTTTGTCCTTCATTTTGATTTTTTTTTTAAATATATTTTATTTATTTTGTACAGAGAGGAAGGGAGAGAGATGGAGAGTTAGAAACATCGATGAGAGAGAGTCATCGATCAGCTGCCTCTTGCACACCCTCTACTGGGGATGTGCCCGCAACCAAGGTATATGCCCTTGACCGGAATCGAACCCGGGACCCTTCAGTCCCCAAGCCGACGCTCTATCCATTGAGCCAAACCGGTCTCGGCTGATTATTTTTTTATGTATAAATATATTGATTTCAGAGAGGAAAGGAGAGGGAAAGAGAGTTAGAAACATCAATGATAAGAGAGCATCATTGATTGACTGCCTCCTGTATGCACCCTACTGAGAATCTACCCACAATCTAAGCATGTGCTCTTGGCTGGAATGGAACTGGGGACCCTTCAGTTCACAGGCTGATGCTCTATCCACTGAGCCAAATTGGCTATGGCCATTTTGATTTTAGAGTAGTTTTCTCTCACTGTACTTGTAATAATAGGGTGGGGTGGGGGAATCACCTTAACTTAAGGACTAATTTTACTACTTCCCTATTGTAGCCTTTCTGATGTTCTAAAGGCTCAGAAAGAGGCAGGATTAAACATACCAAATAACTACGTGTATACCTAATATTTTTGGAAAGTTAAAAGAAGATCTTAGTTCACTTATATGTTTTCTTTTTAGCACCCATAATTTATAACTGTACTTAGACATCCTTTTCTGTAGTACACTGACCCATTACTACCTTCAGATGGCCCTGTCTCTTGCTTGTGGATATAGTGCACCTGTACATGCACACACCTTGTCCAGTGAGCTTGCAGTCCGCCTGAAATCCAGCAGTTCTCTGTGCACTGGCGGGAAGAGGCTCATCCTCTCATCTTCCTCCCATTAGGGGATTACTGACCTCTGTTCTATAACCTGATCAAGTTTGTCAGCATAGTTGCCTCCCTTTCTTTATAAAATGAAGCTATTCAACCTCATGAAAGTAAGATTTAGTGAAATGAGATAGGATAGTTTTTTTAGATAAAAGTTAATGTTCAAATATAACGTATCTGTTTTTCTTCTCCTGCAGCAAACCAAAAGGAAGCTAGATGATGCCAACAAACGCTTGGAGTTTCTGTATGATAAACTTAGGGAACAGACAGTAAGTTTGTGGGGAAAGAAGGATTTATGATAGTCATTTATTCCCAGTAGCTAAAATAAGCATCTGATCAGCACTTGCTGTAGTGTGCTTGGGGACAAACTGTCTTGTTAAGATAATTGGCCGTCTGTTTGTTTATATGTCCCTTGAACAAAGAAATTAGAGTGGGAAGATACTTAGTTTTTCAGAGACCAAACCTGATCCTTTTCTTCTAGCACATCTATTTACACAAAGGAGAAGTCACACATAGCTACAGAGGAGCAGGTTAATGTGCTGTAACTATGAAGATAACCAACAGTAGGAAAAAAGGCAGCCTTTCTGGTCTCTTGTCCCCACCTCTCCATTGCTTTTTAGAATAGTTTGGCTTTATTAATGAAAGCACTAGGTCAGAAAAATAATAACTCTGGGACTTCTTTATATTTTTACATTTTAGCATAATCATTTATCTCATGAGAACCAAATTAAAGAAAGTTGCTATAAACAGTGGTAGTTGTGTGGTTGATCCTTGGACTGATCCAAAATAAAGTCTTCCCTCAAAAGTGTGGACTTGTAAGCCAAGTAATGGGAAAAAAAAAACTGTCGGTTTTATGCTTTTAAGAGATTACAGGATTCTGAAAAGCAAATTAAGAGTAGATAAATTTAGTACCTCATGAGGAATTTTGCCCTACTACATGAAATAGATCAGAAGTTCAGGATCTCTAGTGTAGACAAGATTTAGGAATAAAATGGGTCTTTAAGATAATCATGATTAAGAATTTTTTTTTTTAAGGTGTGAGTCTATTTCTAAAATAATTAAAGAATCAAAACTCTTAAGTAGAGAGAGACCTTAGCATTTCAGCATGAGGAGAAAATCTGGCATTTCTTATAACAAATGTCTGGCTTATATCATACATGTTTAATTCATAAATTAATTATTTCCTTACTACCATTTTTTCATGGGTCTGTTTTATAACAAGTATTGCTTGGTCTGAAAAACTGTTTCTAGAAGTGCTAAATGGTTTATATATTTTTATAATGTTTATATTAAGTTCCTTTTAATATCATGGTTTAATGTCTGTAGAGGATCTCATGGGAATTCTCCCCTAATTTAATTTTCTTGGTTCCATCTTTATTTCAGCTTTCACCCACAATCATCAATGGCTTACACAACATTGCAAGGAGCATTGAAACACGGAACTACTCCGAAGGCTTAACCATCCACACCCACATAGTCAGCACCAGCAACTTCAGCGAGACCTCTGCTTTCATGCCAGTTCTCAAAGTTGTCCTCACCCAGGCCAATAAACTGGGTGTCTAAAAAGACAGCTTCCCTCCCAGCCAATATTGCCATTTTCCAAAGAAACATGTTTTAAAATGATAAAATATGGACCAATCCTCATTAGCATGTTTCCATAGCATTTACACTATTTCTGTAGAGATACTCACCTTAAAACTGCTCCAAACCCCGGTGCTTTGTTTTGTTTTAGTCTTTTATTGCACATAATGATTTTCTTATGCAAATAGCGTATTTCTTGAATTACACATAGTATGTTTTCCTGATGTATTCTGATAAAATGTGGTTTTAAAACCCTTAGTGTATTTTTGGAAAAGGAGCATCTGGTTATGTATAAAGCAGAGCTAAAGCTAAGTTCTTTCATGTCCTCCCTACTTCCTCTGTGTCAATCAGATTAAAGTGTGTAATCTTATTTTAAATGTTAGTAGTCTTTTTTTTTTAAACAGCAGTTCAGTTTGCTTTAATCATTTTTGTGTGTGTCTGGTTTCATTCTGGTCCTGAACAAATAATTAAATTTAGACCCTGTTTACATAGATTTTATTTTAGCAAATATTAATGAAAAGTGGGATCACTAGTTAGTATCTACTAGGAAACGACTGAGCATTTTCACTCTGTAGAATGCATTGAGCTTTATTAATAAACTAGAGGCCCAGTACACGAAATTTGTGCACTGGCGGGAGTGGGGTGGGGGGTTCCCTCAGCTGGCCTGCGCCCCTCGAGGGATGATCTACTGCCGGCTTAGGGGGATTGGGCCTAAGCCACTTGCAATGTGGGATCCTTTGCTCCTTACCATCTGCCCACTCGCTCCTTACTGCTCAGCTCACTGCTTCTTAGCAGCAGGCTCCTTACCACTCAGCTCGCCATTCCTTAGCACTGCCGCAGCGGTAGGAGAGGCTCCTGCCGCCACCACTGAGCTCGCCAGCCATGAGCCCATCCTCTGGCTGAGCCACACTGCCCCTGTGGGAGGGCTCTGACCACCAGGGGCAGTTTCTACTTTGAGCGTCTGCCCCATGGTGATCAGTGCACATCATAGCAACCAATCGTTCTGGTTGGTCCACCATAACGATGGCTTAGGCTTTTATTTATATAGACAAGCAGCCCAGTGCACAAAAATTCATGCACTGGGGGTGGTCCCTCAGCCCAGCCTGCCCCCTCTCACAGTCTGGGAGCCCCCACAGGATTCCTACTGATGTCCTATCTGGGGAGCCGGCCTAAGCTGCAGTCTGGCCTCCCTCTGCTGGAGGCAACCAGGCTGATCAGGGGAAGGCGCCATCCCCATCACCCTGCTGCTGATGCCATTGCCAGCTACCATAGCTGCCAAGGTATCCTCATCAACACGAGTCCAGTCCCTTTACATGAAAAAAAAAATGACAACTTTCTTTAGGCATTTCCAACATGCCTCTTTCATAGGATATGACCTTTTTTAAAAAATAAATCGTTATTGTTCAGATTATTACATATGTTCCTTTTTCTCCCCATAGTTCCCCCTCCACTTGATTCCCCACCCCACCCCATGCCCTTATCCCCTGCCACTGTCTTCATATGTGTAATATTTTTGTCCAATCTCTTCCCGAACCCCTCAGACACCCTTTCCCCTGAGAATTGTCAGTCCGCTCCCTTTCTATTCCCCTGATCCTATTATATTCACCAGTTTATTCTGTTCATCAGATTTTTCATTCACTTGATTTTTAGATTCACTTGTTGACAGACATGTATTTGTTGTTCATAATTTTTATCTTTACCTTTTTCTTCTTCCACTTAAAGAATACCCTTCAGCATTTCATATAATACTGGTTTGTTATTGATGAACTCCTTTAGTTTTTTTTCTTGTCTGTGAAGCTCTTTATCTGACCTTCAATTCTAAATGATAACTTTGCTGAGTAGAGTAATCTTGATTGTAGGTTCTTGCTGTTCATCACTTTGAATATTTCTTGCCACTCCCTTCTGGCCTGCATAGTTTCTGTTGAGGAATCAGCTGACAGTTGTATGGGTACTTGTTTATATTATAAGTAACTAACTGTTTTTCTCTTGCTGCTTTCAAGATTCTCTCTTTGTCTTTTGCCCTTGGCATTTTATCTTTTTTTAAAAAAAATATATTTTATTGATTTTACACAGAAAGGAATTGAGAGGGATAGAGAGCTAGAAACGTCGATGAGAGAGAAACATCAACCAGCTGCCTCCTGCACACCCCCCGGGGGCGGGGGGTGCCTGCAACCAATGTACATGCCCTGGACCAGAATCGAACCCAGGACCCTTCAGTCCCCAGGCCAACGCTCCTCTACTGAGCCATACCGGCTTCAGCGCCCTTGGATTCCTCTTTGGATTCCTCTTGTTTGGGGTTCTGTGAGCTTCCTGGACTTGTAAATCTATTTCTTTCACCAGGTAGGGAAAGTTTTCTGTCATTATTTCTTCTAATAGGTTTTTAATATTTTGCTCGCTCTCTTCTTCTGGAACCCCGATAATTCAGATGTTGGTACACTTAAAGTTGTCCCATAGGCTCCTTATACTATTTTTATGTGTTTGGATTCTTTTTTCTTTTTTTTTCCTGGTTGGGTGTTTTTTGCTTCCTCATGTTTCAAATCTTTGGTTTGATTCCTGGGGACCTTTGATCTGTTGAATTTCTGTATATTCTTTATTTCAGACAATGTATGCTTAATTTCTGACTCATCCTTTTCCTTTTTTTTTTTTTTTTTTTGGCATTCTCATTAAGATCTTTAAAGGTCTCACTAAGTTCCTCAGAGGTTTTTAGCAGATTCTTTAGTAACCTTATAAACTGTATCCAGTCTTCTGCATTCCTCCATTTCTTTCATTTGTGACCTGCCTCTTGTCTCAGCATTTTAGCTGCTTCCCTGAGTTGATGGAGTGGCTTTGTTTGCAAGGTGTCCTTTGGTCCCAGTGGCTCAGCCTCCCCAGTTATCTGAGGTGGACACTCTTTGTGCACCCCTTTGTGGGCTGTGTGCACAGTCTTGTAGTTAAGCCTTGATTGTTGTTGGTATCACTGGGCGGAGTTGACCTCTAGGCCAATTGGCTGTGAGGATCAGCTGTGTCTATACTGGGAGAGCTTCTCTGCTCAGTTTGGATGGGGCAGGATCTCAGGGTGGAGCAGGCAGCCTTGGTTCCCCATTAGTCCCACCCTAAGAGGCTTGGGTCTCAGTATCCTGCGGCAATGGCTGCATGCACCTCTGAGAGAAAGCTGCTCTCGAGGTTTGCCCACTGCCAGACAGTCCAGTTTCTCCACAAATGAGTGTGGATACCCAAAGTCTCGCCTGGAACGGGAGTGAGTGCAGTTGGGAGGTCCTGTTTCCCTTTGGGACAAGCAAGACAGCCGTGTATCCAGCCACCCGGTCCTTCCTCGGGCATGCACGTCTCTGTGCCCTCCACCACTCCTGAGTCTCAGTGTCCTTTTCTTTTTCCTTCTAGTTGTAGAACTTCCATTCAGCCAGCTTTCCAGTGGTTGTGGGTGATGTCTGCTTTGTCTTTTAGTTGTAGTTTTGAAATTGTGTGAGGCAACAATATAGGTGTTCACCTATGCCGCTATCTTGGTTTCTCTCCTGACCTTTATTTTTTTTTCTATCTTCACCTGAAGAAATGTTTCCATTGATTTTTTAGAAAGTGTGGAAGAGAGAGGGAAAGACAGACAGAAACATCAATGTGAGAAGGACACTTCAATTGGTTGCCTCCTGCATGAGCCCTGACCTGGGCCCCGACTAGGGAGGAGCCTGTAACCTAGGTCCTTGACCAGAATCAAACCTGGACTCTGTAGTTGGCAGGCCAAGGCTCTATCCACTGAGCCAAACCGGTAGGGCAAGAGATGACATTTCTTAGTCCCTCCAGCAGCAGACCTTCGTTTTTCCCTCCAGGAGTGAAAAAGCCCTCGATCACTTTTCCCTCCAGGAGTGGAAAAGCCCTCGATCACTTTCCTGGATTCTTATTACCCCAGTTACCAAGAACAGAGTGGCATACAGGGATCTTAACCAATCAGCCATCATTAAAGGTATTTCCTCTGCAGCTCACGCACAGAGGTGGGACCACCAGTGCGCTGTGGCTGGCAGGCCCTCTTCTCTGGGCCTGCACCATCCGTGGCTTGCCTCACCGCGCACACAGTCCCCTCCCACCCACTTGCATACAGAACCTCCTCAGTATTTGTGACACTGGTGTCTCGAGCAATTTGCATATTAACTCTTTATATATACACTGAGTGGGTAGATTATTATGACCACTTGACATTTGTAGGCAAATTAGTTGTTCACTGCATCGTGAGGGATATGGAAGCAGAAGACCTGTTCGAACACCATTGCTGTCTGCAGTTACCAAAATAAAACATCTCCAATTCGCACAGGAGCACAAGGATTAGACAATTGAACATTGGGAAAAAAATCATGTGGTCTGATGAATCACGTTTCCAGTTGCATCATGCAGATGGCAGAGTTAGAATTTCATGGAAACAGCATGAAAGCATGCACCCCAGATGCATGAATACAACCCTTCAAGCTGGTGGGGGCATCATTATGGTTTGGGGCATGTTTTCCTGGCATGATTTGGGCCCTTTAATTCATGTGGGGATAGCACAACATACCTAAGTATCGTTGCTGATCAAGTTCATCCTATCATGTTTATGGCATATCCCAATGAAGATGGCTTCTTCCAACAAGACAAGGCACCATGCCTCGGTGCTTATATTGTGCAGGAATGGTTTCAAGAACATGAGGGAGACTTCACCTTGCTTAGGTGGCCCCCACCATCACCACATCTCAATCAAATTGAGCATTTGTAGGATGAAGTTAAAAGAGCCATCAGGCAGCTGGTTCCACAACCATCCAATCTCACAGAACTGGACAGTGCTATTCATCAGGCATGGTGTCAGATTCCTCACATCACCTTTCAACATCTTGTGGAGTCAATGCCAAGAAGAATTGTTGCAGTATTGAAGGCAAAAGATGGCCCAACGAAGTACTGATGGGGTGGTCATAATAATCTGGCCACTCAGTGTATATAGACTAGATGCCCGATGCACAAAGTTCATG